AGTTTGGGAACGTTCAGGAGTAAAATTATCCATGCTTTTCATGGAGACCTGAAAGTCTCTCTAGAGTCACTTCCTGGAGCCTCTTAGAGTTCCCATTAGGTACACTGGGGCTGCCTTCCATATCCTAAAGTGGGAGAATATATCAGCTAAATAGCTCCTAGAGAGGACTCTGCAGGAATCCTCTTCCTCAACAGTATATATTGAGCATGTATGATCCTCTTCACCCAGGAACATGGCAATGAATGAAACACAAAATTTCCTACCCTCATGAAAGTTACCCTCATAGGGGAGAGAGAAAGAGGCAAAAGTAAGGTTAAACAAAGAAAATATACAAGGTGTTAGATAGAGACACATGCAGTGGGGAAATGAAGAAGAGTTAGTACGTGGGGACTGAGAGGGTGTGGGGAGGGTGAGGGTCTATATGCAGAGGGTTGGAGGTTGAAATAGTGTGGCCAGTGGAAGTCACTGTGAGAAGGTGGTGTTTAAGTGAGGGTTTTGAGCCAAGGAATGCATAATTTGACTGATATTTCACATTATTGGTCTGGCTGTTGGGAATAGACTGGAAAAAGGCAAGAGAAAAACAGATCACAGCAATCCAAATGGGAGCTGATGGAGACAGACAATTTCTGTGGCTGCAAACTTGGTGGCTTAAAACTACACACATTTATTTTCTTTCATTTCTGGAAGCCAGAAGTCTGAAATTGGTTTCACTGCGCCAAAACTAAGTCATAGTCAAGGGCCGTAGTCCCTCCTCAGGCCCTCAGGGAGAATCTGTTTCCTTTCCTTTTCCTACTTCTTGAGCTGCACTTGTTGCACGCCATGGCCCCTTCTTCTATCTTCAAGGCTAACAGTGTAGCATCTTCTCTGCTCCACCTTCATATCATCTTCTCTCTCTTGAGTTAAATCTCCCTCTCCTCCTTCTTGTAAGGACCCTTGTTATTACATAAGGGCCCACCTAGATCATCCAGGACAATTTCAAGACCCTTAGTTTAATCACATCTTGTAACATTCAGAGATTCCAGGGATTAGGACCTGGGTGTTTGGGGGGCCCATTGTTTAACCCACCAGAAGAGGCTTGGACCAGGGCAGAAGTGATGGAAATGATGAGGAATGAGCAGGTTCTTGGATTTCTTTTGAAGACTAAGTCAACTGAATTGCTTTATGGACTAAATGTGGGATGTGAGAGAAAGAGAGGAATCAAGGGTAACACCAAGGCTTTGGCATGAGCAACTGTAGAAAGAGAGTTTGCATTTACTGAAATGAGAAAGGAATAGAATCTTGGTGTGCATGGGATAGCAGTGGAGGGGACTGACTGATATCAGAGAACTCAGGGGCTTATGCAATATTACTCCTGAGACACCTCATCCAAGTGGGCGTGTTGAAGAGCCACTGGATATATGAGTCTGAAGTTCAGGAGAGAAATCTATGCTGGAGATATAAATTTGAGCGCCTTCGTATGTCTTTTAAACTTTGAAATGGAATTAAATCATTAAAAGTGCAAGTGCAGACAGAAAAGAGGTCCAAGGACTGAGCCTGGGGGACTCCAGTCGTTCGAGATCGGGGCGACAAGAAGGAACAGCACAGGTACTTCCCTGGTGGTCCGGCAGTTAAGACTCCACATTTCCAGTGCCCAAGGTGCAGGTCTCATCCCTGGTTGGGGAACTGAGATCGCACATGATGAGCAGCTGCAAGAAAAAAAAAAGAACAGCACAGGGAGAAACTCCAAAAGAGCAACCAGTAAGGTAGAAGGACACAGGGGAGGGTGGATCCCAGAGGCCACATGAAGACAGGAGACAGGGGCAGGGGTGAGGGTGGGGGTGGGCAGGGCAGCTAAGCCTCTGGAGGGAGATGGGTACCCATGGGATGAAGGCAACCTCACCAGCTCTAGCACCCGGCACCTCCTATCACCCCGAAACACACACCCACATAACACCTTCCAGCATGAAAATCAAGCCCGTGACCTTGGGTCTGGCCAACGGAGCAGAAAAGGTCTGCAGTCTGGTCCAGATGTCTGCTGAGATGCTCATGGGATGTGGTAAAGCTGTGTGTCTTGTCTGGTAGACCCGTCTCCTCCACCACATCTGTTCCCAGGGGGCACATCTGTCACCTGTTTCTGGAAAAGGAATCCATCTCAATCAGTGAGGCCTCCATCTGCTTGCCACCCACTGAGCAGCCTGCATGGTTATTGATTGGGTGCTCAGGTCATCAATTTCTGAGTAGAAAGCAGCAGCTGCGCTCATGTCACCCAGAGGGCCGTCCCTGTGAGGCCTGACTAGCATTCTGAGCCATTGTTTTCATGCTTTAAACTAGAAGGCTTACTATTTTTTTAGCTTTTTTAAATTTTTATTTATTTATCTTAGGCTGTGGTGAGTCTTCATTGCTGTGTGCAGGCTCTTCTCTAGTCACAACAAGCTGGGGGCTGCTCTCTAGTTGCGGTGTGGGGGTTTCTCATTGTGGTGGCTTCTCATTGCAGAACACGGGCTCTAGGGCATGCAGGCTTCAGTAGTTGTGGCGCTTGGGCTTAGCTGCTCCTCGGCATGTGGGATCTTCCCACACCAGGGATTGAACCGGTGTCCCCTGCATTGGCAGGCGGATTCTTGACCACTGGACCACCAGGGAAATTCCTGGAATGCTCACTTTAAATAGACCCACTATTTTGTATATCACGCATGAAACATCCATCAGATTCTCAGAATCAAAGTGAATTCAGATCCTATGTTATACAATCGGCACCAAATATCTCAAAACACCTGCATAGCAAGGCAGTTGAGCAATCTCCACATATACCAGCCGGATGGATGGATTCTCTTCTCTAACTTTTCCCTCCCCTCCCCTTCTCTTTCCATCCCTTCTCTTTTCTCTCTCATTCTCTCCTGTAATAATTTCCCTGGAGTTTTAATTCAGTACTTAGATCACTGGTTCTTAAACTTGGTTACATATTAAAATCTAGGGAGTAAAAAAAAACTAATGCCTGGGCCCCATTCCCAGAGATTCTGATTTAATTGATCTGGGTATGAGCTGGGCTTTGAGGTTTTTTTTAAGCTCCTCATGTGATTCTGATGTTTGGCCAAATTTATGAGCCAGTGTCTTCGATTACTTTCTAAGTAGTGGTGCAATATTCTAAATGCTATGGCAGGAGGTGCGAGATCCACCTCCACTCCCTGCCCTGCCTCTCCCTAACATTCCTGGTTCATAGGACAAAGACTTGGGGCTAGTTTACCTGATCTGACTACCACCAATAGAGGCAGCATATTGTGTAATATTCTGTATCTTCCAAATGTCATGATCCAATGGGGGTTCAGACATGGAACATCCGCAACTTCCCTCCTGGGGCACCTTCAGTCAATCTTTAATTGCAGCTCTAGCTCCAGTTGTAAGCAATGGGAGAAGTAGGGTGAAGGTGGCTGCAAATAGCCAAGGGCACACACGTGCACACTGTGTGGGCACACACGTGCATAACCAGTGAATCAGGCTTAGAAGGGGAATTCTGCTGATACAGAAATCCTCTAAAAAACCTCAACAACAAAGTTCTGTAAAGCAATTATCCTTCAATTAAAAAATAAATAAATTTTTTAAAAAAAGAAGTCCTCTATAGAGAAGAAGTAGCCATAGTGCTCTATAATGTCTGTTTTTGTGGCACTTGGCTGGAGAATTACGAGGAAAAACCTGGTTTCTTTGCCCCAAAGCAGGTCTTGCCCAATAAGCTGCATGCTTAGAAGAAACCTGCCTCTCCCCACTTCTCCCTCCATCTGGGATCCTTAATTGGCAAGATCTAAACAGTAATATGCCCAGACTAGATCCAAGTCTATTAAATGCTACAATTTGCAGGCTCTTTGAAAATAAGAATTGGCACGACTTTCCAGAATGCAGCTTGGTAATACGTCTCAAGAGCTTGAAATATGTCCAGTTCATATCCTTTCATCCAATTATTCTACTTCCTATCCTAAGGAAATAATCAGAAATATGGTAAAAGATTTATGTATACAGATCTTCAACAAAGCGCTATTATAACTGCAAAAATCAGAAGTGACTCTATATTTCCCATAATACAAATCTGGCTTACTATGTCATGGTATATCACAGTATAGTCAGGCAATGAAATACACAAACTGGAGAAAACACACTTTCAAATATTTTTAACTGTATGAGAGAATTCTCACAATATAATGCTAAATGAAAAATATATATAGGTATTTAATAAAATGATTAATTTTGCAGTTCAATCCAATTGTAGACATACACCCATAGAGAAGAGAACCCTGGATAGAAATACTAAGATGTTAATTTAACAATGGTTAACTGGATTGTGTGGTTATGATTGATTTCTTTCTTTTTTTTTTCTTTTTCTCACTTTCCCAAGCTTCTATTGTACCTATAATGGAGGGGAGGGTTAACTTTTAAATGAAAAGGTGTCATTTCTCATGATGGCAGCAGGCTTCTATCAGGCTGATTTCAGAAGTGACCCCATAGTAATCCTCCCCTATCACCGCGTGTGCACACACTGGGGCTTTCCAAGCCCTTCCCCCTGTCACCACCCTGAGTCCCACAGAAGTTTTGATATAGGTGAGCTCAAAGGGTCTTCCAGCCCCTCTCAGTAAACCAACCAGGGGCTTGGGTCTGGTTGCTGAGCAACGGGATTTGTGTCACCCAAGAGGATACTTACCATGTTTCATGCTGCCCTTCAACATTATGAGCTCAACGGGAGCCTCAGGAATTGAAGAGATCTTGCCCAGACATGCAGGAGCACATTATTAATTCAGTCTACAGGTATTTATTAAAGTGTGCCAGGTGAAGTTCCCACTCATTCCACGAACACAGTTACAGGTTGTTACTTGAAGGAGCTGACTGATGGGGCTGAGAAGGCAAGTTTGGGACTAAAGCTTAGGGTTCCAACAGGAGGTAGCTCCACCTTGCTAGCTAGTTGCTTGGTAGGGGTTTGGAGTCAAGGTCTCACCAAAGGCTACTTCCTCTCTCTTTCTCCCCTTCTTCGGTTTCTTCAGATGGAGGTGATCGTTGGGGACTTTGGGATCGTGGTGGTTCCCCGGGACGCAGCCGACACAGACCGAATCATGAACCACTCCTCAATACTCCGCAAATACAAAGTGAGTCCTCCAGCTCCCTGCTGGTGTAGTAATGTGATGTGGCCCTTCTCTGAGAAGCCTGGGGGCTGGAGGCAAGAGGACACAAAAGGAGTTTAGTGTGAGGGACTGGCAACCTACTCTCTCTGCTCTGTCCATAGAACAACATCATGGTGGTGAAGGATGACATCAACCATCCCATGTCTGTCGTCAGCTCAACCAAGAGCAGGTACGTTTGACAAACGACCAGAGAGACCTTGGTCAAACTGGCTTATAAGTTCCCATACAGCTCTCCTTAGTCCAGGCTGACTATTAGGTTGGCAAACACCGGCTGCCCCAATATGCAGCCTTCTTTTTAGACCTCATTTAATATTTGTCACTAGTCCTTGATTTTTAAAAGGGGTACAGGCTGTTAGTTAGTTTTAGGTGACTTGAGGGGGGAAGAGGTTGTTTTTAGTTTGAGATGAGGAAGTCTCCTGGAGGAGGAAATGGCAACCTGCTCTAGTATTCTTGCCTCGAGAATTCCATGGACAGAGGAGCCTGACAGGCCACAGCCCATGGGGTCGCAAAGAGTCAGACATGACTGAGCAACTAACACTTCCACTTCCACTTTGAGGTGCCCACAGAATTAGTAAGGGTTTAGGTTAACCGCCGTAGCAAAAAACACTAAACAGAATTTTAAGTGGGAAATGTTATTCAGTGTCAAAACAAATTGAACCTCTGTTCTTCAACACGGAGCCTCCCTCTCTGAGCCCATGGCCGCTGCAATGACTTCTCAGCCAGTGGGGAAGGGCAAAGAGCTTTGCCTTTAGAGGGCGGCCCAAAGTTTCACGCATCACTTCCTTTTCGTCCCACTGGCTCAGCATCAGTCACATGGCCATGCCCAGCCTCCAGACAGGCTGGGGGTAGAATTTGAGGCTTGGCAGCCATATGTTCAAAAACTTGGGAGGTTCTATTACTAAGCAGAAGAAAGACAGACTGGATACTAGGGGCCAGTTAACAGTTTCCTCAAGTGGAAATATCCAGTGGAAGGATAAGACATATGGAATACAGAGGTCTGGAAGTATAATAAAACTGAAAGCCATGAGCACCTAAGTGTAAATTAAAGTTTAAGGGTGTGTCAGTAAGGGAAAGTCAGTAAGAAGCGAAGAAGGCTATGGGAACATTTAAAACATATGAACATTTAAAGGAAGGCTGAGGGGTAAATTAGAAGTTTGGGATTAATATATTATACTACTATATATGGTAGTGTGTATATATATTAATGTATATACACACTACTATATATAAAATAGATAACCAACAGAGACCTACAGTATAGCGCAGGGAACTCTACTCAATATTTTTAAGAGCCTACAAAGGAAAAAGAATGTATAGATATATATGTATTCTTTCCTGGAAAATTCCAAGGACAGAGAAGCCTGGCAGGTTACAGTCCATGGCGTCACAAAGAGTCAGACATGACTGAGTGACTAACACACACATGCATGACTGAATCACTTTACTGTATACCTGAAGCTAACACAACATTGTGAATCAACTATACTCCAATTTACAAAGTAACACAAAAAAATAGAAGAGGACCAAGGAGCAGAGACCACAAGCATTGGTGGCCCTGGAACAAAGGCAACAGAGGGTACAGAGAGAGAGAACACTGTCGTTTGTCATCTGTGTCGTATGTTTCCAAAAAATCAAGTGAGCCCAGGATTTTAAAAGGCCCACTGGACTTCTTCCCTGGAAGGTGATTATGCAGATTCTTGAAACAGTAGCATCAACTATGAGGTGAGAGCAGAAACCCAATGACAATGGCCAATGAGGGAAAAGGGGAAGATTTTGGTTCCAACCATGGCTGTATAATAAAATTACTGTGAAAACTTACACGGCAACACAAATTTCAGTGTCCCATTCACTCCCACTGAATCAGAATTTCTGGGGGTTGGGTCTCTGGGGAGCTGCTTTCTGGGTGATCCTCGTGAAGTTGGGATTGGCATTTGGAAACCACAGGTGTAGACCACTTTTTCAAGAAGCCTCCCCATAAACTGTGTGGGGAGGCACTTGGGGATCTAGTTTGCTGGAAGGTCAGGACACTGTGTGCATTGGAAAGGCCCTGAGCCAGCCTCTGGGGAGATCTCAGAGCCCAAGGCACAGATGCCTTTTAAAATCTAGGTGTCCAGAAGAGTGTTTGAATTCTTACAAATGGTTCCTTGGGGCCTGACATTCCCAAGACCACCATGTGCATAGAGAATGGGAAGCAGCCAGGCCAAGACTGGAGCAAAACTGTGCTGAAACTGAAGTGTATGATGAGAGCCCTTCTGTACATGGTGGGGCCTCCCCTCTCCAGGGCTTGTGAGAAGAGCCTCATGAAGAAGGGCCGCTTCTCCCCTCAGGGCTTCCTTAGGAAGGAAAAGAAGGAATCAATCATGATATTCCTTTTCTTGAGACCTTGGTGTAGAGAAACACAAAGAAATGACATAAGAATAGCTAACACCTTGAAATGCCTACTGTGTGCTTGGGCTCTTCTAAGTGCCACCTGTATGACATGTAATCATTTTGATAAGTGAACTCAGGTCCAGTATTACTACCCCTGTTTACAGAGGAAGAAATGGAAGAATGGATGGGTTTAAACAACTTGCCAGAGGTTCTTCAGTTAGGACGTGGCAGAGTCAGGATGGAGGAGGAATTAGAGGGGAAGAGGGTTTTTTTTTTTTTTTTTTCTGATAGGAACGCCATGCACTTATCCTAAGCAAAGACGGGTAATGGGTGTTGGGGAAACCCCTTCCTCAAAAGGGAATGGGCTGGCCAGCCCTCTGGCCTCGCTTTCGGGAAAGCATGCCCTCTGATTACCGTCTCTTCTCAACCAGGCTGGCTCTGCAGCACGGGGACGGCCACGTCGTGGATTACCTGTCCCAGCCGGTCATCGACTACATTCTCAAGAGCCAGCTGTACATCAACGCCTCGGGCTAGCGGCCACGGGGCGCTGTGCTCCACTCTCCCCTGGTCCTCCGCCAACACACCGGCCCCCTGCCGCCTCCGTCCCTCCCGTTTCTCTCCAGCCTCCGTTTTTCCGTCTCCTCATCTTGACTGTTTTCCCCACCTGCTGACTCAACCCCCCACAGTGTGGGGGAACCTGCAGAGAACACCACAGCGTACCCCTCCTCCGCAGCCATCTTTGGACAAACTCTCCTCTCGTCTCCGGGTTGGGGGTGGGTGACGGGGTCGGGGTGGGGGAAGTGCGGTCCTTGGAGATGTGCGGGTGCCCGTCTCCCAGCATGCTCTGGGGAGGCGGCTCTGGCCCTCGCCTTCCCAGCATGCCCTTTACCACAAAGGGCTATCTTCTTCCTTTCTTTCTTATCTTTCTTCCCGTTGTTTCGTTTGTCGGTTGTTGTTGTTGTTCACTCCTCATAGAACTTGGATCAAATCCGTGTCCGCGGTTCTTTATGTCTGTCGCCTTGTTGCGTTTCTGCGGCATTCCTTCCCTTTTGACAGGATACCGTAGCCGAGCGTCAGCTCTCAGAAAGTTGCGTGAGGGCTACGCCGGCTGAACCAGGCCGAGACAACCCCCACCCACCTACCAGCTTTCTCCCCGCCTCCGCCCTACACACACACAGCAGTCTGGGGTCAAGACTGAGACTTTCATGTTCTGAAACCTGGGACGCAAGTCTGGGAGTAGTAGGGTTCTCAGAAGGATTTGAGTCCATTTCCTTAGTTTCCGAAGACCACTCTTTTTTGATGCTCTGGGCTTAACGATCACCTAGGGCCGGTTCCTTCTCATTTCTTGGTGGCATCTGTTCAGTTACTTATTTGAGTTGTGATTGATGGCAGGGCGTGGGTTGTTTCCTGCCGGCTGGGACCTTACCAAGGGACCTTCAGATCACCATCATAGCCCTTGGAGGCCAGACTTAGTCGCATTCCTACATCTGAAAAGAATCTCGTATGCAAGGCTGAGTCCTAAAAATGCAGTCATTTCTGAAATAAAACACGCTAAGAGTTCACTCAAGTTAGAGATCTTTGCTAATTGGAATTATTTATTGCCTGTTTGGCTGGGAAATGTCCCTGTCATAATGTAAATCCAGGATGACCTAGGAGAAAGTGATTCCCATTTCCTAATGGGAACTAGTGATTCTCACCCACTCTAGTTTGGTAACAGAGATGGTGCCTGAGGTCAGTTCCTTCTTGAGAAGCAGAGCCTCAGCCTTCTTTGTGGGTTTAGGGTTACGACTCATGCTGAACCCAGAAGCCACAATCGTAGCCTGAGGAAGTCTGCCTGGCAGGACCACAGATTCTCAGAACAGACATCTGGAGGGATTGTCAAGAGCCACTAAACTCTTTCACCCCTTTTGTCTCCAGTTTCCCACCTGCCTCTGGCGCTCTGGAAACAGTTTTGACAGACTGTGTTCTAATTGTTCAGATCTCATCCAGGTCCTGCCTGGAGAACCAGAAGGAAATTACTCTCTTCTGCTCTGTGTCTCTCATCCAGTCTCTTGGCTCTTGGGCTTTTGATTCTTTGAGAAATGGTCCCCAAACTGTAGGATAATTTTGTTGATATCTAGTACCACCCCTGGCCCGGGAGGTATTGGGTGGGAGGTATTGGTTGATGCCAGGAACATCTGTAGCATCCTTCAGTAGCCTCCAGGAAAATAAATTTAACAGAAGAGTAGCATGGTTGCAGGGGGAGGGCTTATCCTCTTGGATTATGGAAATAATCTCCAAAGGACAAAAGATACTGTCTTGGCTCTCGGTGTTCAGCTAAGAATCATGGAATCTGAGAAGATCTTTAGAGATTAATTGAGCCGAAGTTTCTTTTAAAAGATGAGGAAGCAGAGATCCACTGGATTAAATGACTGGTCCAAGGTCACACAGCATGTGTAAAGCCTGACAAAAGGCTAATGTTTCCCTGACCATTAGGTCATCACACCACATGATATCTGCTCCTTTGGTTCCCCATGATACCAGATAAGATGCAGCTTTCAGTCTTTACCAGGCATTTCTCTTAACTTACATCTGTCCCAGGTGCTCCCGTATACAGCCTTGTGTGTGCTAGTCCTGGGGGGAGGATGTGATGGTGAAGAAGGCTGTAGCTAGGTTTCCGTTAGGAATGAACTGCTAGAAATGGCAATGGCTTAGAAGACATCTGAATCCAAGAAAGGACTGCTTTGTGGGAGGCAAAGACCCAGAAAGTGCTCAAGATTGCACTAGTGCTGGGGAGAGAAGGACAGAAGTACCTTTGTCTAGGCAAGGCAGTCGGAAGCCAGGAAATGATACAAAGGAAATCAGGGAGCTGGATTCCCTGGGGAAGCACACATCTTCAAGGATATGAAGTTTATGGACAGTGTTTATTCTGAAGATCCACGTGAACAGATCCGAGAACGACCAGCTGTCTTTTATTTCTTTGGTCCACTCTCTTTGCTGGACTTTGTGGTCAAGCCCCATTTAGTTCATGACCCATGAGAAGAAACAGGGCTGACTCTGGCGCATTCAGTGTGGGGGCAGAGAACACATTTGTAGGGAGAGTGAGATGAGCTGAAGAAAGTAACAGGGATATAAGTAGATTTCTAGGAATGAAATGAGAAAGAGTCTGTCTTGGTGAATTGATCGCAAGGATCATGATAAAATAGCTTTCCTTTAATACAAGGAAAAGTGACTCCCCTTTTGGATAGAAGCGTCCATTTCCTGCCCTGCCCCCTTCTTCACTTGCTACAGGGAGGTCAGATCCCCTCTTTCAATCCAGGGCAGGACACGTGACTGTGACCCAGCCAAGGCCAATACCAGAGAGATGACTCAGAGTTGCAAGTGGTGCCCCCAGGTGCCCACAGGACGACCTCCAGGTCCTGACTTCCAGCCTGAGGTCCTGCTCCTTCCTACAATGGCTGACCCAAAGGTTCAGAGATCATGAGAAAGGCATGGGCTAGAATGACTGTGTCAAGAAGGGGTCTGAAGCCTCATTTCCTGCCTACCAATAAAAATGTCTCTCCAGCTTGCATGAAAGTGGCTGATGTGTAAGAACAGGCATAAGGGAAACCCTTCGTGTCACTGACTCTCTCCTCAAGGAATGGCCCTGTGGGGGGGGTGGTGTCTGTGCTGCTAGCGGGTACCTCATTCACCACCTCCCTTCTCCCACCTAGGCAGCCTTTGGGGCCTTCTTGCTTTCATTTTCCTTGAATGTACATGGGAACAGGGGAGGAAAGTCTCTTCCTGAAGTGCCTGAAACCCAGAACTGGAGCTTCTAGAGAAGCTGTTCTTCCTGTCCCGGCTTGGCCAACCTTTCTCCCACGTTCCCTAGTCTCCTGCTCCAGCTTCTCAGAAAGAACAAAAGAACATGGTCTTCTAATTAAATTGAAAGTGAGACTCTATAATCAAACTACAGCAAGAGGCAGAGAATTACAGGGAGAAATGACTTGTATTTTACTAGCCTAAATCTACTCCCCCAAACAGACAGACAGACAGACACACACACTCTCTCTCTCCCTTACTCTTTCTCTCTCTTTCGGATTAAGAGAGAGAAGCATGTTATTATATTTTATTCATCAAAAGAGTAATTCAGAAATAAGTCAGTATGTGAAAAGCTCAGGATCTTTTCCAATGTGAAGGTGGGCAGGTAAGAGGGGAAGGATGGGTCCAGGGATGGATTTTGTAGTTCATCCAATTCAGACACCTTAGGAATAGCATCATGGTAAAGGTGATGAACGTGTTCTGTCCATTTTGTTTAGTTTGCACCTTCCTATAGCTGCCCAGTAAATGCGATTTTTCATGTGGTTTCTTTGTTGAGTATGTTTGGAATGTTCTATTAGCCTGTAACAGTCAGTTAGGAATGAATTACTCTCTTTCCCTCCTCCTTCAGTCTAGGTCTGGGGCCCAAACCTCAGCTTGATCCTAGCAGTCTCAAAGATTGGCATGGGAAGGGGAAAGCTTTTTTGAATCACTTTTTTGGTCACTGAATCTGCCATTTTAAGAATAAGATTTGCTTTATGGAAATCAACACATTAATAAATACTACATTGAAGTTGCAACACCACATCTCACAGTGCAATATTTTGAGTAAAATTTTGTTGCTAGAATAGTCACAGACAAAAGTTTTATCAGCAAAATGGTTCGACTACGTTAATAAATAAGATGATACTACTAGAGCCTTGTGTCTTGGTCTAGAATCTTCTCTGTGAGTTGCAGCATTAATCACTTTTTCTTCACAGTCTTACTTGACAGGAGCCAACAGTTGTTAAGAATGCTCTTAGAGCAGGAGATTTTCTGCTTTGTTTAGCTAATGCCGCATGTGTAATATGAAAGTATACACAACCACACCCATAAGAAGGGAAGAATAATTAGCAAATTTGTTCAATTGTGCCTAAGTTTTAACTTTTTTTTTTTTTTAATGAAATCTTCGGTTCTACCTAACCTGCACAGTCTGGTATTGTTTAGCTTTGGATCCTTGAAGAAGTTAGTTCTTTGTGAATTAAAAATGTATTTGTGAAAATTAAAAACTTGAAAAACTTGCTTCTTGACATAAAGGATATTTAATAGGACAGAAATTGTTAAACTCATGATTGGTTTTGTTTGGCAAAGTGAACAAGCTAAAAATGAATAAGTTAATTGTTCAACGCTGCTGTGACTATTCGATCTTATTTAATTTTTAACTGTGACAAACGTTATGTATGGGTTAAGGTCTGAATGGTGATTCAGAAGGTAGAATAACAATTCTCCACACTGCCAGCTCACTTAAGGTTTAGCTACTGGTTTGTCAGATTAGGGGTGTGTGTGTGTGTGTGTGTGTGTTTATCATTTTGGTTCTTGGTCTCTTTTTTTGTTTAAGACTGAGATTAGTCAGCTATGTGGGTTTGGTGACATATCATTATGGTACTTGATATGACTTATAAATTGATGGTTTGTATTTATATTTGCTGCTTTAGTCACAAATTGAAACACTTTTTTCCCCTCTGTCCTGAGAGTATATAATGATGAGCTCTCGTTTAATATTGGGTATAAACATTGGTTTATTTTGCTTACTTATACTAACTTACAAAATATATATTGTATCTGTAAGTTAACAGACATATACATAACGCATTTTTTCCCTTATGACCCGTAAGTAAACTTCAGATCTTGGAATTTCCTAGAAAGTTCCATGTAGCCCATAGTATAAAGAAAGCAGAGGAAAAAGAGTCTACCCTCTGCTTTCCAGGTTGGAAAACAGCCACAGCAAGAATTTACAACATTACCATGACCATGCAAAACATTAAAAAAAAAAGATAAACACATTCCCAGTCCTTGAAACTTGTTCCAAACATTGGACATTACCAAGTATCCATCTTACATTTTGTCCAACCTGCCAAACGTACTGAAAAAAAGCCCACATCCTGGGATAAGATCAGAAGTACATTGACTAAGAAGTTACAGTCCACGTGCATTTCATTTCTACCCACTTCTCCAGACAGAAATCCCCATGAGTCAAAATAGATGAAAATATGTGTGATAGCTTACCAATGGCACAATTAGTTAGATAACTCTCAGAAGCACAAAAGAGTTTCTACTACAAATCACAAATACTGATAAGAAAGAGGAAGGAAAGTGCCCTTAACTTGGCAGGGTCAGATCAAGACTGGTATCAGAGTCTAAGTCCTGGGGAGGCTATTTGTAAGTCACAATCTCCTTTTTCATCTTAGGGACAATCTACCACAACCTCAGAAATGAGGGAATCATTTCTGTCCAAATAGAGCCACAGAGTCACTTTTCCGTTTCCCATCTCTACATAGGGATCATCTCCCATGTGTCAGGGAAGACAATCTTATGACTCTCTTAACAGTCAATCCCATGAAGGAATCCTTTTATGATTGCAGGCACCCTTGGATCCCCTACCAAGTTCCCTGGAATATGTATACTTGACAGAAACAGATAGCCAATCACTAGGATGCATTCTCCCCTTTCATGGTAGAGAACTGTCAGAGAATTGGCTTCTTACCAAGGGACTCTATTTCCCCGACACCTTATAAGTTAGAGGTGGTCATAATAGTACCGGGTTCTGGACCATGGAATGTGATAGAAAGTGATGTTCAGCCTTCACCAGGCCTGCCCCACAAAAACTTCCATGGATCTCCTTCTTCCATGCCTTTTTTCCTCTCCATCCACTGGAAGGGAGATGCTGACTAGCGCAATCTTAAAAGTCATGTTATAAATGGCAGGGCCTCTGAAATGAATATGTGGAGGGCTTCTCTGCCAACTTTCTCTCCGTCCAGTATATGATGAGAACAAGGAAAAAGTCAATCATGAGTGAATTATGCATATTTTTAGGTTTGTGTGATATTGTAGTTAATCTAGTCAAATTTGTAAGATATGTGATTGAGTATGCCAAGACAGGATTAAAAATGCACTTTCAGAGAAGGCGAAGCATAGTGATCAGATCTATCAGAATTTGGGGGGTCAGTGTAGGCAGAAGCAAAATTCTGTCCTCAGTCACTTGGGTAGATGGCCAATTCAGGATCTCCATTTATTAAATTTTAGTTGATTAAAAAGCATGACAATGTACCACAAATGATTGATCTTTGCCTTTATTTTTTTATAGCTCATGAAAAAAAAGCCAAAACATTAATTATCACCCTCACCCTGCTCAGGTTGTTCCAGAAATAAATCCTTCTTTATGCTTAGGAGACAGAACCAATTAAATCTCATAAAGTGCTTGCCTGGTTAGAAAGGGCAAACAAGGTGCTCAGAAAAAGGAATTAAAGATGCTAATTCTGGAGGCTCACATCTCTTTCTGAAGCATTTTTTGTTTCCACTGCCTTAGTACCTACACCTTAAGCTTAGAGTTTAACAAATTAGAAACTGACCACAGGCATCTACAAATTGTTCTTTATTTAAAAAAAAAAAAAAAACAGGTCCATGAAAAGCCAAGGAAATACAGAGGTGAGGCAGTACCAAAGTCTACTGAGCCGAGGCTAGAAGGGCCTCTGATTTTTCCAGAAATTCCCACTGGTGTTATGACTCAACAATCTGTTGCAATCAGTTGTGGAAAGGGGCAGAGCAACAGCTGAAATGCAAGAAAGGGTGCACAATCCAGAGTCATTTCAGCTATTTACCAAAATCCAAGTGACCCACGGGAATGTCTTGCAACATATGTTCCGTTAAAAAATGAGGTTGAAAACCAAGGGGTTATTGCAATGACTTGTGAGGAACAGGATTTGTAAGTTTAAAATTTTTTTTTAAGGTTTGTCTTCTTTACTATTCAATCAAGTCTATGAGGACAGAGACTATGTCACCACTGTACCCCACCCAGCCCCTGGCACACAATTGGTACTCAATAAATATATGTTGTAAGGATGGATGGATGGATGGAAGGATGGATGCTACCCAGTTCAAGTATGAGTAGGAACATTGTTATCGAAAGAAGAGTAAGAACAAAACCCATGGGGCATATAATTTTTAGTGTTTGAAAATGGCATTGAATTAGGACTAATACATCTTCTTAGATAACTGCACCTCTTTCAGAGCCCAAGCTACATTTTTCTATCACTTTGAACTCGAAAGTAAATACTTTCCCAATGTTTGCTTCGCTGGTAAGAAATGCTTTAATAAAAACATTGTCTCTAAGTTGCCTGGCATCATCAGGGGAAAGGTGGGCACTTCCAGGCCCAGAAGAACTCAAAGGTAGCAGGATATCAATGCTCCAAATATGCCAGGCTTACAGTTCATCACTTCCTCCAGCTTGAAAGTGGAGTACATGTCATGGATCGTCAGTAAGTGGGCAGAACTCTGATCAACAAGAACACATTGAACACTATGAGGCAACAGTATTTTACTGACCACAGCATGACTTCAATTCACTCTCTGTTCTGACATTAGGAAGAATTTTATGCGTGGGCAAAGTAAAAAAAAATTTCCTTTGGTCACATTTACTCAAAGAATAAGCTGCCTATGACATGGCAACACTTGTTCATACGCCAGGAGTTGGTTTATGACTATCTGCCTGTGCGGTTTGTCCTTCCATCCGGTCTACCCTTTGGGTGTCCAGGCCCTTGATGAGTCTCATACTCAATGCTATTTGCCTTGTTGCCCCGCATCAGGAAGCAAAGAGCATCACACTGGTAAAATAAGACATTGATCTTGGCCAAGGTCTCGGGGTGGGGCCAGGTTCAGTTGAGCTGAGAATGCCCATTGACACGTTCAAATGTCCCCATCCCACCCCACCCGCGTGAGATGGCTTCTGAGCCTGAGGTCTCCATCCTAAGAACCCCAGTTGGGAAATCTCGAAGGCAGCTTCAGTGTTGCTCAAGAGCCTGGGTATTATAGCAGCCCGGGGGCAGGTTGTCCCGAATGTTCTCCAGGTTCTTCACATCAGCCAGAATGCCATCTATGCTTGTCTCCAGCGAGCGGAGGTGGCCCCTCTGCCAACGCACTCTCTCCTCCAGCTCTGACATCAGCGGCCGCAGCTGGCTGTTGATCTGGGTCTTGGCTCGAAAAAGCTTCTGCTCCAGTAAGATCAGCCCCTCTTCATCCACACTGCCAGGCTGGTCTATTTTTAAAGGACAAGAAAGGAGTTAACAGAGGAAAAAGCTGTGGTTAGATCCCCTTGAATGCATGCAGGCCCTTCCGTAACTTTAATTTCTGTTTTCACCTGCTCATAGCCAATAGTATGCCATTCTTTTAAAAAGGCTTATTTTAAATTAGAAATAATCTAGAAGAAATTTTGTGAGCACAAGCCTTGTTACTAGATTTTGAAAAGCCCAGTTTAAGCATCTGGGCTCTTTAGTTAAGCAAGATGAGGCTTGGACTATGGTTTTCATGATAGAGTCAACAGCTTCTGCTCTGAAAAGATGAAGGCTGAAGGTCACAGGGCCTGAATACTGTCCAAGGTGTCTGCCCAACACAGCTCATCCCTAGGATCAGAACCAACTCCAAATTCTGCTCTCTGAATCACCCTTAGGAAATTTCTTGTTGTTTTCTATTAGAAGACCTTTAGAAACTGGCTGGGTGTCAGGGCTTAGGGAGGCCAAGGTAGGCTTTGCTATTTAAGGGATGCATTCCAGCTGTATGAAATGATGGAAGACTTCATTCTGGCCTGGAACAGTGGGGATCTGGCTAGACATTAGTTTATTTCCAATATGAAATGTGGTCACATTTGTTCAGGTATGCTTTACTCATAAATGATCTGACACGTCAGCATTAAGGGCACCTGGCAAGACCCGTTTGGTCTGAATAGGTTTGAGTGGACAATTCAAGGTCAGATCCATTTGACTGCAGAAGTTTTATCCCAGCTAAAGAAATGAAGCTGTAATTTTTCCTGGACTCAAGAGACCAGACAGAGTAGAAACAGCATAATAACTCAAATGTTGATCCAGTAGATCAGTCCCTCCCCTGGGGACAGGGGAGGATTCTAGAATTCAGGGTTCTAAGACATGCAGGAGAAGTGAAGCAGGCTTGCAGACAAAATGTCCATGGGGAGGCAGCATGAGCTTCTTGCAAACGGCAGGAGCATTGGACACGGAGACCTCAGGTGGAATCCTGGCTCCCCCATTTACTATGTGATCTGTGGAGCAGTATTAAACTCCCTGACCTTCTGTTCACTATTCTGTGAAATAATATAATAAAATCCGCCTCATTTGTTGTTTAGTTGTTAAGTCATGTCCGACTCTTGTGCAACCTCATGGACTATGTAGCTCCTCCGTCCACGGAGTTTCCCAGGCAGGAATACTGGAGTGGGTTACCATTTCCTTCTCCAGGCAATCTTCCCTCATCTCCTGCTTGGCAGACAGATTCTTTACCACTGAGCCACCAGGTAAGCCCTAAAACCTATCTCATAGAACCTTTACAAATGTTATACAACCATTCACCACAAAAAAATCTGGCATAGTGCATGGCACACAGAAAATGCTTGACAGTTCTCACCCAGCCTCTCCCATGCTCTCATTTCCTCTAAAGGCCCTGTTAGTTTCATTGCCTTTTTCAGAACACTAAGCAAAGCTGCTAAACTCTCAGCTGGGGATTTTTTTTTTTTTTTTTAATCTTAAGAGGGTATTTTATTCTTTGGGACTCATTGGATCACAAAGCAGACCCATCAAGGAAACAATGCAGACAATACTGGTCTCTCAGGGTGATGATGACACTCCACAGAAAAACCAGATTTGAAAGTGGCTCTCCTAATTATGGCTGGAATCCCTGACTGAAGCCCTAGTTCCATATGTGCTGTGGTCTAAGCTTGATAAAACAGGCCACAGGAGGTTTGATATCAGTTCTACCCAAATCCAGGATTTTAATTTATCTGAACTTTCTTTTGGGAGGGATGCTGTGAGGTAACTGGAGCTGCTGTCATGGGGTGCCATCCAATCTATCTTAGCCTAAAATTTCTACAGTGTCTCATGGACCTACCACTTTGACATTTCATCTGGATCATCTACCAGGCAGCTCAAGTTTCCACAACCAGTTAAAACAAGGTGTAACTGTGGTTTGTGTGTGTGTGTGTGTGTGTGTGTGTGTGTGCACGTGGGTGCTCAGTAGTGTTCAACTCTTTGCTACCCTATGCACTGTGTATCCCACCAGGCTCCTCTGTCCATGGGACTCTCCAGGCAAGAATACTGGAGTGGGTTGTCATGCCCTCCTGCAGAGAATCCTCCTGACCCAGGGATCGAGCCCATATCTTACGTCTCCTGCATCAGCAGGTGGGTTCTTTACCACTAGTGCCACCTGGGAAGTCCCAATTGTGGTTTGGGGAGGGGCAAACAGCAGAGTCAGCAAGTAATTCTTTTTTCTTAATATTTATGTATTTATTTGACTGTGCCAGGTCTTAGTTGCTGCACACGGGATCTAGTTCCCTGACCAGGGATCGAACCTGGGGCCCCTGCATTGCAAGTACAGAGCCTTAGTCACTGGATCACCAGGCAAGTCCCTCAGCAAGTGATCCTTGACCTCACAGTCTGGGAGAGTCTTCCCCCTCACCACTCCTACTGCCTCAGAGCTCTCTCACCTCTCAATTACTACAACTGTCTCCAAAATGATCTTATCCTGCCTCTTGTTTAAGCCTCCTTCAAACTCTCCTCCACCCAGCTGCCCCAGTGATTTTTCTAAAACATACAACACTGACGTTATCCCTCTGCTTGATACTGTCCACTAGATTCTCAGGATCAAGGTCAGAATCCTCAGTGGGGCTGTCAAGCCATCCAGTATTCTCTTTCACTGTGAAGTTCGAATCCTACCTCCACAATTTACTGTGTGATCTGCAGAACATTACTAACCACTCTGAGCCTCAATATACCTTCCCCAAATACACCCAGTTCTTTGACCTACAGACTTTCATCTCCAAGGGCAATAGGTAGATGCCCAGTGACCCACCTTAGAGATGGTAAAATAGAACACAGCAAACGAAAAGCAATCTGCCTAAGGTATCTGAGCCTGGAAACAAAGCAAATTTCCTGACACCCTTAAGGGAAGTTGAGATTCCCACGCATCATGACTGAGTCTAGTTAATCTTCTGGGGGAAGCCCTGGGACACAGGTTGGAAGGCTGTGGACCTCCACACACCTATTAGATGTAGGATGCCATCCAACGTGCTGAGTGTGTCTTGGATTGTGACTCCAGCATTCTCGGCTCTGCTGCCAACTCTCTGGGCTTCTGTAATTACCTGAGGGAAAAAGAAACACAAGCCCATCTGGACAGGGTGTCCCCACACTGGCCAGGTTAAAGGACTCTGCCGTGGAAAGCCATGGGGACTCACTGTCTGCACTGCGTCCATATCCGCGTCGAACTCCTGCTCCTTCCTTGCCAGCTCTCCTTCCACTTTCCTCATCTCACTCTTGAGAGTGGCCAGTCCCTTCTCCATGGCCAAGGCTCCATCTGCTGTCACGTTGGCCTCCAAGTTCAGACTCCCAATCTCCTGGGAGAAGAAAAGGAGCCAGGGACGGAAGGAGAGAGGGGTGAGGCACAGAAACACCCCAAAGACGACCGCAGGAAAAATACAGCTGCAGCCAGGCTCCGATGGAGTCAGTGAGATGAACAATGAGAGAGTCAGACTTGGAGACACCCCCTTCCCCAAGCTCTGCCTCAAACAAATGAATTTGGGGGTATGTCTCCAGAGACTAGGATGGTCAGCCGTGAGACACTGCTTCCCTCTCAGGTCAAGCTCAACAAATGTTGAGTGAAACGGGAACCAGTTGGGAAAACCCAGAGGGTGAGAAACTCAACTCTTTCTCGGTCATATTTCTTTGCTGCCATCATCTTTTGAATGGCTTTGTTCCGCAAGACACTTGAGGTTTGGGGTGCAGAGAATGAATGGGCTACAGCTTTGAGTTTTGTTTTTACTAGGATGAGTGAATCTTAATATCTTTCTCAACAAGCTACTATTAGGCATCAAGTCACAGATGTCTCTGTGCTAGAAGCCATATAAAGAGAGGCACAGAAAATTGGTCTCTACCCTCAAGGGACCTAAGATTTGAGATTATTTTTGGAAGTTTTCAAGTGGTCCAAGAGTGAGGCCACACAGTCTATATACCAAAGGTTCCCTCTGGGCTTTCTAGAGTTGCTTATGATTTCTAAAAGTCACGCTTAAATCAGAACTAGGAAGCTCTCTTCCAGTTGAGAAGCACTCTTTCTATTGTAGGACTTAACATTTGGGCAGTAAGTGCAACTAGCCTGTCTTTCCCATTACACGGAGTGCTCCTGGAAGAGAAGGACTGAGTTTTTCCCATCTCCATGTCCCCAGCACCAAGCACAGTGCTGGCACATAGTGGAAGCAAAGCGAAAAATGAGTAAGTGGAGCTTAGACCCAGAACTCCAGAATTTCACAATCTTGAATCAAAACACTGGGGTAGTTGCTGCAAGTTGAATTGTGTCCCCCCCAAAAAAGATGTGTTGAAATTCTAACTCCTAATACCTCAGAGTGTGATCTAATTCGGAAATAGGGTTGTTGCAGATGTAATTTATTAAGATAAGGTCATGCTGGAGGAGAGTGGGCCCCAAATCCAACCAGCATCCTTTTAAGAAGAGCTGGAGAAAGCCAGGAAGAAGGACCCCAGCTGATGACAGAGGCAGGGACTAGAGAGAAGCCACTGCAAACCAAGGAACACAAAGGATTGACAGCCACACCGGAAGCTAGGAAGAGGCACGGGAGGTTTCTAGCCAGAGTTTCGGAGGGAGCATCACTCTGCTGACTCCTTGATTTCAGACTTCTAGCCTCCAGAACTCTGAGAGAATAAATTCCTGTTGTTTGAAGCCACCCAGTCTGTGCTGCTTTTTGATATCAGGAAACTAACAGAAGTCTAAATAAAAAGCAATCTTATATTACTCAGCCATTAAAAAGAATTCATTTGAATCAGTTCTAATGAGATGGATGAAACTGGAGCCCATTATACACAGTGAAGTAAGCCAGAAAGATAAAGACCATTACAGTATACTAACACATATATATGGAATTTCGAAAAATGGTAACGGTAACCCTATATGCAAAACAGAAAAAAGAGACACAGATGTATAGAACAGACTTTTGGACTCTGTGGGAGAAGGCGAGGGTGGGATGTTTCAAGAGAACAGCATCGAAACATGTACATTATCTAGGGTGAAACAGATCACCAGCCCAGGTTGGATGCATGAGACAAGTGCTCGGACCTGGTGCACTGGGAAGACCCAGAGGGGTCGGGTGGAGAGGGAGGTGGGAGGGGGGATCGGGATGGGGAATACATGTAAATCCATGGCTGATTCATGTCAATGTATGACAAAAACCACTACAATATTGTAAAGTAATTAGCCTCCAACTAATAAAAAAAAAAAACACAGAAAAAAAAAAAGCAATCTTGCATGGTTCGTCTCATGGTATTGTCCTAAAAGGGGGGCTGAAAATGGCAGGGGTGGGGCTCTAGCCCTCAGTCAATGACAGGCTCGTGAACCAACCAACCAAAAGGCCAGCCAAGTAGATCTGGGCACACCACGGACCATAACAGGACGCTGAGTCCTACAGGTCAGAATGAGCCCAACGCTCTCGCTCATTCAACATGACCGGTGTGTTTGAAGCTGCTTCCGCTGACCTGCGATTTCTCTTTACCTGTTCTATCTTGCCGGCGATCTTCAGGGCCTCCCCGGCTGCAGTCTTTGCCCTCTGGGCGTCGGCAGCAGCACCCCCCAGGGCTGCTTCTGCTCGCCTGGTCCTGTCGCTGGCGTCTGCAACCTCCTGGCTGATGGAAGAGAGTCTCTTCATGGCCTCTTCAGCCTCTGCTTTTCTGTCTTCAACCTGCAGATCAAACTCTGAAACGAAGATAAGAAAACACTGCCATGAAGATGAAAATTAACTTACAACTGAAGATGAAAGGGGCTGAGGCCTTTAAGAAAAATCAGAGTGTTACTAGCACCCAAGGGATGAGAGAGTGGAAAGTTATGGTCATGACTCTTGTCCAAGAGAAAGTATTGAACTGACAGTCAACAATCAGCCTGCCCTGGGTCCCCATCTTTGCAAAAGTCAACCTGCAAATGAATCAGAAGCAAGTAGACTCTTTGAAGCCCAAAGTTTCAAGCCTGAGCCTTAAACCCTAAGCTGCCAGTGGCAGTAGTGGTAAAGAACCCATCTGCCAGTGCAGGAGACAGAAAAGAGTCGGCTTCAATCCCTGGGTCGGAAAGATCCTCTGGAGGGGGGCATGGCAATCCACTCTAGCATGCTTGCCTGGAGAACCCCATGGACAGAGGAGACTGACCAGCTACAGTCCACAGGATCACAAAGAGTCAGAAACAACTGAAGCGACTTAGCATGCACGCACTGCAAGGCACACACCCAAATTTCCCGGAATCTAGATGCTATGACAAAGCTTGTTCTATATCATTTATCACAAGGCAACCTCACTGACTCTGTATTGGAACCAACCAGGCCAAAGAAAGAAAGACAGAGAGAGAGAAAGGAAGAAAGAAAGAAAGGGAGAGAAAAGAAAATTATCTATATGATAGTGAGATATCAGATCTCTGCAGGACCTTCGAGGCAGTTTAGTTCAAATTTCTTCATTTAGAGATGGGAAAATCAGAGTCTGGAAAGGTTATGTGACTTGCCTACAGTCACATAACCAGCTCAGCCTAATCACACAATTGAGCATAGATCAGAACTCAGGCCCTTTGACATTTAGTACAATATGGTCTTCCCTGGTGGCTTAGATGGTAAAGAATCTGCCTGCAATGTGGGAGACCTGGGTTGGACCCCTGGGTTGGGAAAATCCTCTGGAGAAGGGAATAGCTACCCACTCCAGTATTCTTGCCTGGACAATCCCATGGACAGAGGAACCTAGCGGGCTACAGTCCATTGGGTCACAAAGAGTCAGATGCAACTGTGCAATTAACACTTGCAGTTTGCACAACTGTTTCTACTATATTAAATATTTTTAAATGTTTTTCTTTACAAAGATATTTATTGAGTGTCTATTAATACCTCAACATGCCTGCCACTTACAGAGATTTATGAAGATTCAAAATAAACCAGTCACGTTTATACCTTAAAAATACTCAAGTGATCTGAACCCTGAAATACTCACCTCTGAGGTTCTTTAAGATGTTCTCAACTTCATAAAAAGTGGCATTGCCCATACTTAGTGCTTCTTGAGCTCTGCTTTTAGCAAGGTTGGCACGGGAAAGCAGCTGATCTGATTTCTGTAAATGGGCAGGCAGAACAAGATTAGAGTAAATGTAACACACACCAGGGCAGAGCATAGTCACTCTGACACACTGCTACTCACAACAGAGAACTGTGATTCCTGGAGTCTAGGGGTGCTGTAGCAAACCCCTCCACAACCTGAGACCACAAACTTTATAACCTGATGACCCAGTATGATTCCACATTGAGGACAGTCTCGAGCTCTACTCAGGGACAAGAACAGTTTTGCAAATCTTCATTTTAAACTCTAGATACTTCCTGAAGTATGGACATATACTTCACAGATATATGTCATATATACCTAGGAAGTATAGACATATGTCTTTGTAGACAGAGCTAGATCAAAACTGGGCCCAGGAGATCTCAGTCCTATACTTACATTGGAGGGCTGACTCAGTGAGTGGAACTGAGGTAATCACATTAAGGTCTCCATAAGCAACAATACCATGACCTTTTGAGAGTTTTTGATGGTTCCTCTTACTGGTAGCCATTCAATACAGGTCTGCTGAAGGAACAAAGTAACAAAGGATACCTGTCTCTCATTCTTCCCATCCTCTAAGAGCTTCTGGGTTTCTTCTTCCCAGTTTCCCAGACTGCTTTGCACACGCTTGAACTCATCCATTCGCTTAGTCACCAGGCTTGAGAGAGAGTCAGCTTTTTGTCTGATCCTCTTCGCTTCTACCTGTGAGTCCCCCAAAATGAAAACGCCTTACTTTCTGCTCACCAGGTGTCACACCAGTCTTCTTAGGACCTGCCATCATCTTCTGAAAACAACAATCCAGGCCCAAAGTCCAACAGAAATAGGCAACATTCCACATGCAAGTCAGGCAGCATGCCTCTCAACTAGCGAACGAATTTTATGTCTGCTCTGCGTTTTTTATTACTGTTTCCTATGTGTGAAAATCACTGTGAATGCTTTATGCTGTGAGTAGAAAGCTGAATCTTAATCCAATAAATTTGGAATAGTTAAAGGAATTGATGACAGAAACAACACAAACTTTTGAGGGGAAAAAAAAGCCTTCCAAGTGGGTATACATGAAGATACACTATAGGTTGGACCCAAAGGTAAATACCAAAATTTACCTATAGTAATTTCGCACAGGTTTCAACAGTCCCCCAAACTAGGCAAGAGATAGAAAACTTGTATTCACTAACAGAAATAGGCTCAGGATGTGAACCAAGGTGTGATCAGGGATCAAGATTGGAGTTTAAGAACAAAGGTAAGAGGAGGATAAATGCTCTTCCTAATTTAAAGCAAGAAAGGTAAATATGGAGGAAAAAACTGGATGATTGAACAATTCAACAGAATCTCCTGAGAAGAAAGCATTATGGCCCTTCTTCTGAACATCACTGCATAGGTTAGATACTCTTACCTGGAAGGACTGATCATTGACCCCCTGAAGCTGAGTTGCTGAACTGAGAAGGCGGAGACTATGCTGATAGGACGTATCTGCTTCAGTGTCAACTTGAGTGGCCTCCCTCGACAGCTGCTGGGCCAGAGACTTGGTTTTCTCCAATCTGCAGGGAGTAAAGACAGCAGACTTTGAGAATTCGCTCTTTTTATTAAAAGCAAAAATTCACTGTGTTAAAAATATGTTGTCAGGATTATCCGAAGAACCAGATGAGCGTGAATGTCTGATATGCGTCTCTTTCCACAATTTAAACATAGACATTAGAGTTTACACAGGTTAGGTCAGAAAAATTCAACCCAAGTTTCCCAATTCTTAATCACATGAATATATTAGGCTTATACGCTCCATGCCACCAGATGGGTGTGTTCACATCCCTTAAACACCACAGATGGTACCATATCTACAAATACACAATCTCTAAATCAAAACTGAAACTTTACTTAGAGTAAGTGACGTTTTTCTTCCAGTCTTAAAGGCATCTGCTTTCCTCCAAAGTAACCTGCTCATTCTCATGTCCTTACTATTGATACATTTAAAGGAACACAGCACTCCTCAGACCTTTGCATTGTACCCTGGGAGGGAGTGGATTATAGTGAGGACCTGCTGAAACGTACTTTCCCACAAGCTCTTGTACCACGGAGCCACGGAGGCTGCCGCTGCTGCCCACTTCAGCAGCTGCCTTGCGCGCCAAGGTCAGGGCTTGGTTGGAGTAGTCTTCAGTTTCCCTGACCAGTTGCTCCATGTTATTGGCTGACTCGACATGGCTGAAAGGATCAAAGAGAATGAGTTTTTATAGCAAAGGCTTCCTTTATTATTAAAAAAAATTTTTTTTCCATACATTTTTATTTTGTATTAGGGTGTAACTGATGAACAACACTGTGATGGTTCCAGGTGGACAGCAAAGGGACTCAGCCGTACATATACATGTATCCATTCTCCCCTAAACTTCCCTCCCATCCAGGCTGCCACATAACACTGAACAGAGCTCCATGTGCTGTACAATAGGTCCTTGTTGGTTATCCATTTAAAATATAGCAGTGTGTACACGTCCATCCCCAAATCCCTAACTACCCCTTCCTCCCAAATAGAGCTACCATATGACCTACAGTCCCACTCCTGGGGATATATCTGGAGGAAAACATGATGAGAAAGGACACATGCATCCCAGTGTTCACTGCAGCACCATTTACAATAGCCAAGACATGGAAGCGACCTATATGACATTCAACAGAGGAATGGATAAAGAAAATGAGATATATGTATACAATGGAGTATTACTCAGCCATTAAAAAGGATGAAATAGTGTCATCTGCATAAATATGGATGGACCTAGAAATTGTCATACTGAGTGAAGTAAGTCAGACTGAGAAGGTGAAATATCATATGACACCCCTTATATGTGGAATCTAAAAAGAAATGATGTGGAAGGATGCAAAGAGTGTCCTTTAGGCCTTTTATTTAAATAAAGGGAGAGGAGTAAGAGAACTGCTTTGACTCAAAAAAACCAACAGAAATGACCCAGATGAGATGGAGCTCCTCTATTAGAGGTGCTATCAAGAAGCAGAAGGTGTTCTGAGAAGTAGTCTCACGTCCTAAACTTTTTTGATGATCTATTCCATTTATAGCATAATCAGGAGAAACTATGAGGATGGGCAGGAGAAATCTCAGGGTGATAAATACTGCATTTATAAACTGTTTTCTGCAGGAGAAATCCCTAGGCTTTATTTTATCTAGGATCCAACTCCCTCTCCACTTTTTGCTGCATCTTTAAACTTAGCCCAACATTAAGGGGGACAAAGCCCATCGATAACAGTTTCCCAGTTGCTTTTGTCCTCCTGGTTCTAGAAACTGATGAAAACAAATCCAGGAGCCAGCCCCCTTCTGCCGACTAAATTCCATTCAGGATTAGCAAAGCCTGCCACCTTGCTGAGCCCTCTGCCAGGAGCAAACCTCTTCAACATCAATCCTGATTGTAGGATTTGCAATCAGCAAGGACTAAGGAGTTGCCTGTGATTACCAGGGCCCTGCAGAGCCGGTTTTCAGGAGGGAATTCTCTCCCTCTGCACAATTGGCCCCCACAGGCTAGCAAACAACTCGTTGTTAACTTGTTCCCAGGCTTGGTGTGGGAGCCTGGGAGTCCCTCAAAGCTGCAAAGTACTCTTTTCCAAGGGCTGATTCATTTCACTGGGCCCAAGGAATTACAGCTGACATACACCGAAGCCATACCATGAGTCACAGAGAAATCTGGAAAAGAAACACCCCACCCCCAACTCCTGCCAAATGACCTGGCCCAGTAGCCACCTACATACACTGAAAGTCAAGCAGTTAAAAAACGGCTTCAGGGCAGAGGGATGGCTGCAAAGGAGGCTGGAGGTAATCAGGATGGAGCTTTGGTCCTGAATACTCAGCAGAGTTGTTTAAGTCTGGCCTCACAGAGGTGGTCTGAAGCAGAGGCGCCCTCCAGTACCACTCACCTGTCTGCCAGTCTCGTGGCCTCCTGAGCTAGACTTTTAAAGCCATTTGGCCCCGTGTAGTGCTCTGAGGGAGGAATGTTCTGTGGAAAAAGGACAAATGGTTAAGGCTTTGCTGGGAGCCATGGAGCCTAAGCAGGTTTTGCAGCTGTCTTGCCTGAACCTCTTGTCATTCAGTCAGTCAGTTCAGTTCAGTTGCTCAGTCGTGTCTGACTCTTTGCAACCCCATGAATCACAGCACACCAGGCCTCCCTGTCCATCACCAACTCCCGGAGTTTACCCAAACTCTTGTCCATTGAGTCGGTGATGCCATCCAGCCATCTCATCCTCTGTCGTCCCCTTCTCCTCCTGCCCCCAATCCCTCCCAGCATCAGGGTCTTTTCCAATGAGTCAGTTCTTTGCATCAGGTGGCCAAACTATTGGAGTTTCAGCTTCAGCATCATTCCTTCCAATGAACACCCAGGACTCATCTCCTTTAGGATGGACTGGTTGGATCTCCTTGCAGTCCAAGGGACTCTCAAGAGTCTTCTCCAACACCACAGTTCAAGAGCATCAGTTTTTCGGCACTCAGCTTTCTTCACAGTCCAACTCTCACATCCATACATGACCACTGGAAAAACCATAGCCTTGACTAGATGGACCTTTGTTGGCAAACTAATGTCTTTGCTTTTTAATATGCTATCTAGGTTGGTCATAACTTTCCTTCCAAGGAGTAAGCTTCTTTTAATTTCATGGCTGCAATCACCATCTGCAGTGATTTTGGAGCCCAAAAAAATAAAGTCTGACACTGTTTCCACTGTTTCCCCATCTATTTCCCGTGAAGTGATGGGACCGGATGCCATGATCTTAATTTTCTGAATGTTGAGCTTTAAGTCAACTTTTTCACTCTCCTCTTTCACTTTCATCAAGAGGCTTTTTAGTTCCTCTTCACTTTCTGCCATAAGGGTGGTGTCATCTGCATAACTGAGGTTATTGATATTTCTCCTGGCAATCTTGATTCCAGCTTGTGCTTCTTCCAGCCCAGTGTTTCCCATGATGTACTCTGCATATAAGTTAAATAAGCAGGGTGACAATATACAGCCTTGATGTACTCCTTTCCCTATTTGGAACCAGTCTGTTGTTCCATGTCCAGTTCTAACTGTTGCTTCCTGACCTGCATATAGATTTCTCAAGAGTCAGGTCAGGTGGTCTGATATCCCCATCTCTTTCAGAATTTTCCACAGTTTATTGTGATCCACATAGTCAAAGGCTTTGGCATAGTCAATAGAGCAGAAATAGATGTTTTTCTGGAACTCTCTTGCTTTTTCGATGATCCAGCGGATGTTGGCAATTTGATCTCTGGTTCCTCTGCCTTTTCTAAAACCAACTTGAACATCTGGAAGTTCATGGTTCACGTATTACTGAAGACTGGCTTGGAGAATTTTGAGCATTACTTTACTGGCGTGTGAGATAAGTACAATTGTGCAGTAACTTGAGCATTCTTTGGGATTGCCTTTCTTTGGGATTGGAATGAAAACTGACCTTTTCCAGTCCTGTGGCCACTGCTGAGTTTTCCAAATTTGCTGGCATATTGAGTGCAGCACTTTCACAGCATCATCTTTAAGGATTTGAAACAGCTCAACTGGAATTCCATCACCTCCACTAGCTTTGTTCACAGTGATGCTTTCTAAGGCCCACTTGACTTCACATTCCAGAATGTCTGGCTCTAGGTGAGTGTGAGGGATCATACCATCGTGATTATCTGGGTTGTCAAGATCTTTTTTGTACAGTTCTTCTGTATATTCTTGCCACCTCTTCTTTATATCTTCTGCTTCTGTTAGGTCCATACCATTTCTGTCCTTTATCGAGCCCATCTTTGCATGAAATGTTCCCTTGGTATCTCTAATTTTCTTGAAAAGATCGCTAGTCTTTACCATTCTGTTGTTTTCCTCTATTTCTTTGCATTGATTGCTGAGGAAGGCTTTCTTATCTCTCCTGGCTATTCTTTGGAACTCTGCATTCAAATGGGAATATCTTTCCTTTTCTCCTTTGCTTTTTGCTTCCCTTCTTTTCACAGCTATTTGTAAGGCCTCCAGTCACACAGAATTCTCCATCCTGACACATCAAGAGTCCCTGGTTTACCATGGTCATTACATCAAAAAAAAAAAAAAATGTAGAGACTTGAATCAAATAGAAATCCAAGTTCATAAAAAATCTGTATATATAAATGGATTTTAAAATATATGCATGTTTATATCTTCATATATATTTAAAGTTCAGCAGAACATAGGCCAAATTTTAATGGTAGTTATTTCGTAGCAGTGTGATCAGAGGGTACATTTATTTTCTGAATATTCTTCAAAAGGAAAATCAATACACACTATTTTTAAATCTTTCATTTTCCCAGGATTATATTTGATTTATCTTCCAACTTTCTTTATCCACTTCCCATCTTACAATATTGTCACCATTGCCTCCTTTATTCAGAAAGACAAGAATGTTCATTCAGATCTCCTCCTCCTTTCACACCACAAGCAACATCATTAGGAAAATCATACTGTAACAATTTTTTCCCTATTTTTATCACCATGTTTTTATTGGTCTCCTTCCTTCCCTCCTAATTCTTTTCTTCCCTCTTCATTTTGTTCATTCATTCTTTCATATAGCAAACATTTGTCAGAGCCACACTTGGTGTTATGGGCTGAGAAAGTAAAGATGAACAAAATTGAATCCTGCCCTCCAAGAGCTAACAAGCTAAAAGACAGGCAGAAAGACGGGAGAAGACTGTGCTACAGGCAGCAAGAAATGAACTGGTGAAAGAGAAAGGCTGTCACTAAGTTGTATCCGACTCTTTTGTGACCTCATGGACTGCAGCCCGCTGGGCTCCTTTGTCCATAGGATTTCCCAGGCAAGAATAAGGGAGTGGGTTGTCATCTCCTCCTCCAGGGGATCTTCCTGACCCAGGGATCGAACCCGCATCTCCTGCTTGGCAGGTGGATTCTTCACCACTGAGCCACCTAGGAAAACATAAAGCATAAAATGGAAACTGGCAAGAAGCCAAAGAAAGTTGTGACTGCTGCAAGGAAGAGAAGTCCTACTGACTACCAGAGAGACCAGAAAACCTGAGAGACAAAGTGAGCCCATGACATGTGCTGTGGGTCCCCCAGCTCAGCAGGGACTCTCACCCCCTAACCCAGCACCACCTACAGTGTTCTGCAGGGCAGACTCGCTCTCCTCCAGGCTCAGGCGCATCTGCGTGATGAGCCTGTGAGTATCCTGAACTCGGTCCTGATGCTGGCTGCCCAGGGTCCGAAGTCTCTCCAAGGTCATCTTGAGGTCATCCAGGCGGGTCCTGTAGCTATTCTCTTGGCTCCTGGCCTTGGCCAACTGGAGGTTGAGGGATCTAATTGCACCTGAATACCAACAAAGAAAGGGAGGATGAGCACGTTGGGGGGTCAAGTCATCAAAAACAGAGGGCTGAAAAAGTGACTTTGACTGGCTTTCAGCAAAACAGTAATAGCCCAGTATGTGAATGCATGCTCTTTTATCTCCATCATTTCAAATCTCAGGAGAACATCACAGACAGTTCTGCCACCTCCACAAGGGTGAGGCAGAGACATCTGCTGAACTGTTACCACCAAAGATTCTATGACCCAGGGGACTGCTTTCTAAGCCTCTGAATTCTCTCCTGTGTGAAACGGGCCTCCATTACCTTCTGAAATCTGGGCTTCTCTCAGAAGGTCCCGAAGGGCCTGTTCAGCCTGCTGCATCCTGCCCTCCAGCTCTGCGTCGGGTACTGCTCCTCCGCCAGCCTGAGCCTTCGAAATCAGGGTCTCCAGGTTCTCAAGTTGCTGCATAAACTGATCCATCTGAAACCACGAAGGAAAGAGGATTAGAACAGAGGATGGAGTTCATGGTGGAATACTATATGGCAGGTATCCAGGGGCTAAGGCTTCCCAGGTGGAACTAGTGGTAAAGAACCCACCCGCCAATGCAGGAGACAAAAGAGACACCGGTTCGATCCCTGAGTCGGGAAGATCCCTTGGAGAAGGGCATGGAAATACTGGTTGCCACTCCAGTGTTCTTGCCTGGAGAATCCCATGGACAGAGAAGCCTGGTTGGCTACAGTCCACAGGGTTACAAAGAGTCAGACATGACTGAAGCGACTGAGCACATGCATGCGTCCAGGGGCTAATGGCTACAAGTCCAGAAATGCTTGGCATGTCATGGTAAAATTCAGACTCTAGAGCCTAGACTTTCTGAGTCTGGATCCTGGTTCCACTACTCACTAGCTATGTGACCTTAGGCAAGTCACTTTCTTTATCCGTAGGATGAGGATAATAATATCGCACAGACTTATTATTTGGACTAAATGAGTTAGTATTTGTAGAATAGTGCTGGGAATAGAGGAAGTGCTATAGAGGCCAGTTAAATAGATAAATTTAAAAAAACAAGTTGAGTTTGTTCTACATTTGGGTTCTGTTTGGACCCTTTCCTCCCCCGCCCTTCACTACAGTAAAAATAATAATTCATAATTAACAACAACAACATCAATTTCATTCTTCTCTGGAATTTGAATGAGAAATTTCTGGAGGCCATTCCTGTTTGGACAGCCCTGACACCTTTAGATTCCTCATATCTTTTATGCTGTTGTTGTTCTGTCGCTAAATCGTGTCCAACCTTCTGCGACCCCATAGACTGCATCACGCCAGGCTTCCCTGTCCTTCACTATATCCTGAAATTTGCTCAAACTCGTGTCCATTGAGTTGCTGATGCCACCCAACCATCTCATCCTCTGTCACCCCGTTCTCCACCTGCCCTCTATCTTTCCCAGCATCAGGGTGCTTTCCAATGAGTCAGTTCTACACATCACGTGGCCAAAGTACTGGAGCTTCAGCTTCAGTATCAGTCCTTCCGATGAATATTCAGGATTGATTTCCTTTAGGATTGACTGGTTTGAACTCCTCACTGTCCAAGCTGCTTAAGTCTTCTCAAGCACCACAATTTGAAATCACCAATTCTTTGGCTCTCAACCTTCTTAATGGTCCAACTCTCACATCTGTACATGACTACTGGAAAAATCATAGCTTCAACTATATGGACCTTTGTTGGCAAAGTGATGTCTCTGCTTTTTAAATATGCTGTCTAGGTTTGTCATAGCTTTCTTTCCAAGGAGCAAGCATCTTTTAATTTCATGGCTGCAGTCTCTATCCACAGTGATTTTGGAGCCTAGGAAAATAAAATCTGTCACTGTTTCCACTTTTTCTCCTTCTATTTGCCTTGAAGTGAAATTTTGTTGTTAGCAATGCTTCCTAAGGCCCACTTGACTTCACATTCCAGGATGTCTGGCTCTAGGTAAGTGACTACACCATCATGGTTATTTGGGTCAGTAAGACTTTTTTTTTTTTGTATAGTTCTTCTGTGTATTCTTGCCTCTTCTTAATTCTTACCTCTTCTTAATCTCTTCTGCTTCTGTTAGGTCCTTACAATCTCTGTCTTTTATTGTGCCCATCCTTGCATGAAGTGTTCCCTTGATGTCTCCAATTTTCTTGAAGAGATCTCTAGACTTCCCCATTTTATTGTCTTCCTCTGTTACTTTGCATTGTTTACTTGAGAAGGCTTTCTTATCTCACCTTGCTAGTCTCTGGAGCTCTGCATTCAGTTGGATATATCTTTCCCTTTCTCCCTTGCCTTTTGCTTCTCTTTCCTCAGCTGTTTGTAAAGCCTCCTCAAATAACCACTTTGCCATCTTGCATTTCTTTTTCTTGGGGATGGTTTTGGTCACTGCCTCCTATACAAGGTTATGAACCTCCATCCATAGTTCTTTAGACACTCTATCAGATCTAATTTCTTGAATCTATTTGTCACCACCACTGTATAATCATCAGGGATTTGATTTAGGTCATACCTGAATGGCCTAATGGTTTTCCCTACTTTCTTCAATTTAAGTCTGAATTTGGTAATAAGGAGTTCATGATCTGAGCCACAGTCAGCTCCCCAGTTTTTGCTGATTGTATAGAGCTGCTCCATTTTCAGCTGCAAAGAATGCAATCAATTTGATTTTAATATTGACAATCTGGTGAAGTCCATGTGTAGAGTCACCTCTTGTGTTGTTGGAAGAGAGTGTTTATTATGACCAGTGTGTTCTCTTGGCAAAACTGTTAGCATCTGCCCTGCTCCATTTTGTTCTCAAAGGCCAAACTTGCCTGTTACTCCAGGTACCTCTGGACTTCCTACTTTTGCACTCCAGTCCCCTATGATGAAAAGGACATCTTTTTTTTGGTGTTAGTTCTAGAAGGTCCTGTAAGTCTTCACAGAACCAGTCAACTTCAGCATCAGTGGTCAGGGCATAGACTCAGATTACTGTGATGTTGAATGGTTTGCCTTGGAAACAAACTGAGATTATTCTGCCATTTTTGAGATTGCACTCAAGTACTATATCTCAGACTCTTTTGTTGACTATGAGGGCTACTCCGTTTCTTCTAAGGGATTCTTGCACAGACCATTGTAGATACAATGGGCATCTGAGTTAAATTCACCCATTCCCGTCCATTTTAGTTCACTGATTCCTAAAATGTCAATGTTCACTCTTGCCATCTCCTGCTTGACCACATCCAATTTATCTTGATTCATGGGCCTAACATTCCCGGTTCCTATGCAATCCTGTTCTTTACAGCATCGGGCTTTACTTTCACCACCAGACACATCCACAACTGAGCACTATTTCCACCTTGGTCCAGCCACTTCATTCTTTCTGGAGCTATTTCCCTGCTCTTCCCCAGTAGCATGTTGGACATCTTCCAACCTGGGGGGCTCATCTTCTGTTGTTGTATCTTTTTGCTTTTTCATACTGTTTATGGGGTTCTCAAGGCAAGAAGACTGGAGAGATTTGCCATTCCCTCCTTCAGTGGACCACGTTTTGTCAGAATTCTTCACTGTAACCTGTCTCGGGTGTCCCTGCACAACATGGCTCATAACTTCATTGAGTTATGCAAACCCCTTTGCCATGACAAGGCAGTGATCCATGACACCTCTTTTATATGTTTAGGTTTCCTTTGTTTGTTTCATAAGGACATTTCTTGGAAAAAATCCATCTAGAAAGTGGCATATTATAATAGAGCACTGAATTCAGATTCAGTGGACATGGGTGGCATTTTCGGTTCCCCCATGTGACTTTTGAAAAATAACACATTTCTCAAAACTGGTAAATATAAGAACATAACTCTGAAGTATTATTACTACTACAGGGAAACTTTTTAACATAACAATTTTTCAAGAGAGAAATAGTAATCCCCACTCCTGTCCTCAGGAAACTAGGAGGAGCCTGGGTTTGTGACAGGACCACCCAAAAGACACTTGAGGATTTTACTTGTGAAGGTGAGGGCTGGCTAGCATGCACACCTGGCTCTTCACTTGATTGTAGCAGGCTGGACAGTTGGTTAATGCTGCGTGGTCACAGTGGAGGCCGTCAAATCCTGGCTTGCAAACACAGCTGCCATCACTTCTACACTCCACGGGCTCCGAGCCCAGTGGGTTGCAGTTGCAAGCTAGAGACAAAAGACAAACAGGAAGCTTTCATGTCAGACTAATTCTGGAACCTGGAGGTCTAGCAAAGATAAAAGGAAGACCCAGTTACCCAGAGCAGAGAACCCTTCTTCGCCCTTGTTGATTCATGTTGTGTTGGATTCGTTTCTTGGCTATATCTCCAAGCACATTCCCAACACAGAGAGGTCTTGGGAATCATCTGACAGGTTTGTTTGGTGTGTGTGTGTGTGGATGAAGAGACACTTCAACAGCCCATCCTTTCTAGAGACACTGATTTACTTCCCCCATTAAATTGTAAGTCTCTTGGATATTCTGCAGACACTCTGGGTTTGCTCACAGGGAGAGTAACATTTCTTCTGGGCCTATAATATGCCAGATGTAGACATCTCTCTATATATTACAGATGAGAAATACGGGCTCAGAGAGGTTGAGTAATCTGTCCTAGGACACACAACAAGAAGATGGCAAGAATGAGAACTTGGAAAGAGCCAGTGCTATTTCCCTTCTGTTCTGCTGCCTTTGACGTAGGAAGTGCAGCAAAGCAGAACCTTTACTCAGTCAAACTGATTTAGTAGCACTACGTGTCACGTTCTGTTCTAGGAGCTGAGGATATAACAGTGGGTGAGACACTGCTCAAATGGAGTGATTCTTTGGGTACTCCAACTTTAGTGATCACAAAACACCTGGAATAACGTATGAGCATGTGTTATGATTTGCTTCCATATTTATATGTCTTTTTTATTAACATATGAGCTCTTTGTGAGCTGGGCTGACTTATTCATTATTATAACCTCAGTATCTAGCGCCACACTGCACACATGGTAAGAGCTTGATAAAAGACAGTTCAGTGAAAAAACTGTACTGTCTAAAGGCAGTGAAATCTCTATTAATAGCAATAATATTAATAGCAATAATAGCAAAATCTATAAATTAATCTATTTATAGATTTGGGCTTCCCCGGTGGCTCAGACAGTAAAGAATCTGCCTGCGATGCAGGAGACCTGGGTTCAATCCCTGGGTTGGGAAGATTCCCCAGAGAAGGAAATGGCAACCCATCCAGTACTCTTGCCTGGAGAATCCCATGGACGGAGGAGCCTAGTGGGCTACAGTATATGGATTCGCAAAGAGTTGAACATGACTGAGCAACTAACAATTTCACTTTTCTTTTCAGATGGAATTATATGGTTTACAGTGTGCTTTCTCATATGCTACTTTATCTTTGCAACCACTTTGAGTAAAATATTAATCGTCCATATGAGGAAACTGAGACTCAGAGAAATTAATTGGCAAGATCAGAATAATACAAGAGGTATGCTAAAAAACTGGACTTAAACTCATACTGCTGATGTCATGTGAATGCTTCCTATCATAGAACATCACAGCTAACCCACAAGCTGGGGTCAGGGCAGGTGGAATTTGTGTCTCTGGGTAAGAAGCCTTAAGTTGCACAGAGCCTCAAGCATCTCCAGGGCTGGGCACTCTGTTGTGAATGAGGGACTCTGGGCGCCCTGCAGACCTCCTGGGGAACCTCCAGTCTGGGTCCCCAGAGCCACTCTGGACCTTAAAATAAGCAAGCTCCTGAGTTCTGGGCACCAGGCTGGTCTGGGACCTTGGTGACTGAGGAGTGACTCTAAGTGGCAGGCCAGCTCCCTTGAACTGAATTTGCCTCTAGAACAGAACACGTGCAATGGCTTGAAAGAAGGGCCGAGCAAGAGGCCCGGTCTGCACATTCATGCTTTGATCTGATCTGAAGCAGCGCCCAGGAATGCTCCACGAGAGCTACTGCTTTGAAGCCCGACCTCCTGAGTAGACGTGTGGACTGTCACCTTTCTATACATCAATCACACAGACTTCCTGAGAGGGTCTCTCCAACTACTTCACTGCCCACTCCCCTCCCACTTCAGTGTATCCAAGCTTCATCTCGAGTCATTTATTACCTTCCTCTTACGGGTCTGGCAGCCACTTGCCTGCCTACCAGCCTGGGGACTACGAATAGGAGGCAGCCCCATTTTATCTCCTCTTCCACTTTGGAATGTAAACCCGACCCTTCTCACTTCTCCCACTCAGCCTTAACCCTTTCGACATCCTCTGGCTCTGACTGTCAGAGCCCTGCTGCAGGGGAAATTGGTCTTAAGACTTCTGATCAGTGAAAGGTCCAGGCAGGTCAGAGAAGCCAAAGGAGCATCACAGTATTACCTGCTGTCAGCCTTGCCCATTTATATGTTCTCACATGTGTACATGCACACACACACACACACACACACACACACACACACAGCCTGGCCAGTCTGCCTAGGGGTGCAGTCCTACCTCGACACTTGTCCGCTGGGTTGGCAGCCAAGGGGTCCCCATAGTAGCCAGCTTTGCACTGGTCGCAGTGGGCACCGGTCGTGTTGTGAAGGCACTTCAGACACCTGCCTGTCAGGCGGTCGCAGTTCCCAGGGGCACTGGGGTCCACGTTGTTGCTGCACTGACAGGGCTGACAAGGTCTCACTGGACCATGTTCCCCAAAGGGGTCCCCAAAGTAGCCATCGGCACAGAGCTCGCAGCGGGCTCCTGGAAGGAACCAAGAGTCAAGCTGCCCACGTGATCATCAATTAGCAGCAAAACCAGAGGCAGAGGCTAAAGTTATGTCACCCCCTAGAAGAGCTTCCCCCACCTGGGACCCCAGAACAGCAAGCTCAGGAGCAGGAACCCACAGCAAGAGGCTGACTCTTCCACGCCACGGTGGTCACAGATTCTAGAACACAAGTACCACTAGGGGCCTTCCTGCCAGTTAACAAGCTGGCTAGGGAAAAGTCAGATGGAGCACCAAACCACCAAGACTGTGGCTCAAGATTAGCTCTTCTCTGAGACCAACCAGCAGAGAGGTGTGACACGTATAACGTTACTAAGTTTCCCTTCTTTATCTTGGTTCAATTTTTTTTGGTTGTTTTTGATGAGGACCATTTTAAAAATCTATATTGAATTTGTTACAATATTGTTTCTGTTTGGGTTTTTTGGCCATGCAGCATGTAGGATCTTAGATCCCCAACCAGAGATCAAACCTGCACCCATCCCTCAACCCTACATCCCATCCCCACCCCTCCCCCCCCTCCCCATCTTTACCCCGTTGCTACCTGAAGTCTTAACAACTGGGCCACCAGGGAAGTCCCTCCTTGGGGTTCATTTTTAAAAACTTAGTTAAACTCTATATTTCATCTGACAACTTCACCTACCAATTACAAACCTCTTAAAACAGCGTTAGATGTGTCCACCCATAACTCTACAGCCTGCCCTTCTTCAATCTACTTCAGCTCTTGGGCATCGAGATCTCCTTATCTTTAAAATGAGCCCATTGAGAATAACCCTGAGTCATGAGAAGTCCCTGGAAATCCCTTGGATTGGACAGACGCATGGCAGGAGGACAGGGCGGGCAGCTGGCCTCACCAGTGACGCCGTGGGGACAGTTACTGCACACCACCTCCTCTGTCTCGGGCATCACAGAGCAGCTGAGCCCATTGCGACAGGGACAGGGCTTGCAGCTGCGGGGGTCGTGTGGGTCGTTGTAGAAACCGAGGGGGCAGTCCGCACACTCGATGTCGGGGTTTTCATCCCCTGAATAACAATCTCCTGGGAGGAAGAGGGAGAATGGACGGGCAGAGAAATGAGCAGGTAAAACTATCCACTTCCTTTAATACAGAGGACGACGCGTGGGAGGCAGAGCTTAGTAATTCAAAGTCTCCCTTTCTGCAGCTTTCCCCAGAGTGCCTGATCGCTGGCCCTCCTCCCCTCTGCCCTCCTACCAACTCTAAACATGGCCACGACCCTGAATCTCACCCTCCCTCTCCCAGGCTAAGCAGACCCACACTCCTTTTACCACGGTCCATAACCTAACAGGGCTCCCCACTTCCCCACGGCCTGACTACACCACTCATCAGCACGTTCATTCAGGTCCTGACACTGGCTTTGATCTCCCCAAACAATTCTTGCAATTTGACACCAGCTCCCCCACCCAGCACTGAACCATGACAGCCATTTCCTGTAACCTAGCACCTTTCTCACAACCTTGTGGCATTTCCATCATGAAAAGGATTGAATGTAATAAAGCGCTGCATCCATCTTCCCTTGACTCCAGCCCTGCTCTCCTTAATCCTTTCCCATCTCTGAAATGAGTTCAGGCACCGCCTCTCCTGCACGGCTCTCTCTTCCACGGGAGACCCCGGTCACCTGGCTGCACCCCGAACCGCCTGGTTCAGGTGTCATTTCACTCACCTGTGTCTGGATCACAGGCCCCTCCCCCTTGGCAGTTACAAGGAATACAGGTGCCAAAAGGTCCCAGTCTGGCTGAATCTCTTTTGTAGCCAGAAGCACATTCCTGGCAGAACTGTCCCTTGTACCCAACAGGACATACACATTGTTCAACCCAGGGTGCTGGGGCTCCCGAGACGGGGCGGGCTGAGATCAAGGTCACGTTGTCGAGGTACCCAGTACCTGCAAGAGAGACAACAGGTGGGAAGCAACAAGTGGTAAGGTCCAAGGATCTAAAGTCAGGCCTCATATTGGATTTTTTCTTAACTCTCTCAATGAAAAGAAATTCACATTTTAAGACAAGACAAGGAAAATTTAGAAATAAAACTTTCTCTCTGCCCTTTGGCCTCCTTCTTCCCCTCTAAGTAGATGTAACATTGTGCATCTGCCTTATGTGTTAAGCAGACCTCCCATGTGGCAGAAATACCTGCTCAACCACAAAGATCAATTTTTCTCCTTCTGGCACCAGCCATGTAACTCCTTAGACATAACATTACTTTGTCAGTCCTGGTAGGGGTCACAGTGACCTCCTGCTTACTTGCCTTGTATGTGCAGACATCTCTGGTGAACTTTATGTCAATGCCAGTATATCATTTCCCTTAAAGAGAGCAATTGGTGCAGAACAGACTAGTCAGACGACCTGGAGAGACTGGGCCACACCTAATGGAAGTTCTTAGTTTAAATGCTTGTTTATGACCTTATTAATGCTACTAGTTATATTATATGCTGCCTATCTTACAAGATTAAAGTTCCCTGCACATGTATGCATGCATACTCAGTCACTCAGTTGTGTCCGACTCTTTGCGACCTCATGGACTGTAACCCGCCAGGTTCCTCTGTCCATGAGATTCTCAAGGCAAGAATACTGGAGTGGGCTGCCATTTCCTCCTCCAGGGGATCTTCCCAACCAAGGGACTGAACCCACGTCTCTTACATCTCCTGCATTGACAGGCAGATTCTTCACCACTGAGCCACCTGGGAAACCCACCAAATGTGTGACTGAGCCTCAGATAAAATTAATGATAATTAGGTGACTAGAAACAATTTGATCAAATATATAGTTTTACAAGATCAGTGATTGTAATAATGTATTGTAATAATTGTATATTGTAATTGTAATAACAACAGTGATTGTAATAATATGGGAAGAAGCAATAAAAGGGAACTATTCTGAGGACCGTAACAGACTAGTAAGACAGGTGGTCCAGAGACTTTTGGTAGCTGTTAACAGAAACTGGTCCAGTAATAGCACTTTCTGTGGCCTATCAAAAAAGTCCTCACTTGACTTGGGAATGTGCATTTCAAGCACCGTGGGACAAAATGGTCACAAAATACGTCCCAAACCATGAATGAAATTAAGACAGAAGGGAAAGGGAGTGTAAAATAAAGAACACTGCCCACTATCCTGTTCTACAAGAATCAGGTCTTTAGCCGCTGCGGTCGATGACCTGCAACACATCCTGAAAGGAATTCAAGACAAAGGTCAGAATGAAGCACCCTGTGCTCTAAGAAACCTGACAAAACCGGCCCTCAGTCAGATATTTTCAGGAAAACATTTTATGAATCCAGTTTACTGCATCTTCTCATACTTAGAAAAGCACTAAAACCATTAATTAAGATATCTGTCCCTTGGGAAGAGCAGTACCCTTCTACCAAGACGTGTGCTTGGCAGCACATACTCCCTTCCAAGATCACATGCGTACTGGCTTCTCCTTTACCTCTTTGGAACAGTTCTCAGAACTTTCCAAGAGACAGCCTCCAGGCTCTACTTCTTATATTGGCTTGAATAAGATTTTTTCATTTCTTTCTTAGATTGACTTTTTTTTTAACTTTTTATCTTATATTGGAGTATAGATTGACTATTGATTAATTTTTTCATTGATAGCCCAGGTGACATTCACTCACTCTGGCATGCGTAATAGTATAGCACTTCATCATCACTGAGTGCACTGGTTCTGGTGTCAGAAAAATCAGGGTTTGAATTCTGGCTTGATCCTCACTAGCTCTGTGAACTGGACAAGTTCCATAACACCTCTGTGTTTCCTCAGCTACAGAAGAGAAATGACAGAGGTATCTACCTCCCAGGTTGTCGTGAAATTAAATGAGGCAATGCATGTACCGTAGAGTGCTTGGCACATAGTAAAGATTCAATAAATTGTTAGTAAACACCTTTTCCACTTTCTGCTTTATTCACTGTAACAGTGACATGGAAATGGTGCATGTTAGCTATGCATCCTTTTTACATGAATGCTAAAAAACTTAAGCGGTCTCACTTAAATAAATCCAGTCGTGATAAGGAGAACCCAACATAGAACATAGTATGTAGAAAGTTCAATAATAGGAATTTACAGAATACATGGTGATGTCCAAACATGGTAGCACCAAGTATAATCCCAAAGGAAAACTACTCAAGAAATAAAGAGAAGAATGTTGTAGATTCCACTTCTGAGCTAAGGGAATGTGCCCTTTTGCTGTAGGTTACCTTCTTCAAATAATCGGCTTCAATCTAAATTCAGAGACTTTCTAGCAAGGCAGCATCATTTATTCTTCATTGATGTGACCTCTTTTCAAGAAATACTCCTTAACTCTTTGTTGACTGGAAGATTTTTGCAGAAACTAATGCTTGTGGTTGGCGATTTGTTATATTGAAATACTGTGGTCAATAACGTTTGGGTAGCAAAAGATGTATTAATACATCTCTAGTCAATAATGAGTTAACAACATCTTGTAGAATGTAAAAATGTAGACCCAATCAGAGATTCTACATCAAAACCATTCATTGTTTGTCCACTTGTTTGGAGACTGTCACCAAGTTAGACAGCTGAAGCAAGTTAAACAAAAACCTAAGAAGGGAGGGATTCCTTTCTTTTAGTCACTTACTGTATTCTCCGTAGGTAGCTCGGATCCTCAGGGCTGTGAGGTTCCGCAGTAACCTCCGATACTCAAAGTAACTCAGCTGGGGTCTCCAGTTACTGCTTGGATGTTCATTTAATCTGCATGATTTAAAACCAAAAGGTGAAAAATCCAACTCTTATCAAATCTTACAATGTGTATACCTGATACAAATTCCTGCCCGAGAATGCAGGAACAACTAAGTCCCTTCACAGCCCTGCTTAGAGGGAGATAAAGGACAGGTAGCCATATCCCTGTAGGCACAAGCCTGGAGCTTTCCCACTCCACGGGGAATGCAAGCCCCACAGGATGTGATGGAGTGTAGGAAGCCGAACTCCAGGGGTTATGGCATCCAGTGTGGGTCCACGTCCTCAGAGGCCACTTTCTATTCCTGGTCACAGGAAACCTAATAGCAGAAACATCTCTGAGTTCCAGAAGCTCTGATTTTTAAGAGCTGTCATTCATGTTTGGTTTTGTTGTTTAAATGACTTGTTATCTGAGCATGTTTCACCTCCTATTCTCATAAATCAGTGTCCACCTTTTACACTCTTCCACATCTAATACTTCTTAGTTTTGCATCATGTTGCCTTGGTGTATCATATCACCAGCCCCTGTACTAGTTTTTTTTTAATGTTGTTTTTTGGTTTTTACTGGAATAGCTCTTTCGGGAACAACCCTAACCCTTTTGCCTCATCCACTGATTCATGAATAAGTGTTTACTGTGCACTTGTTTTGAACTAGAAGCTGTATTAGGACAGAAAATACAAAGACAAGTAGAGTGAGGTGATCAGTGTCTACCCAAGGTGGTAGGTAAACGTGTAACTATGATACGATGCAGAAAGTGCTGCAACAAATGCGTGAACAGCACGCCACAGAAATTCACAATGGACTGTAACTTTACCTGGGATTCGGAGAAGGCTAATACAAAGGAAAAACCTGTAAGCTGAATCTCAAAGAGTAGTTCACCAAGCTAAGAATGTGGGAATGGGTGTTCCATCATGGAGAGTGAAGTGTGTGATCAGAGTAAGCTGCAATTGGTTACTTAGGAACACAGTGTATCTTGTGGGTCTTCTATACATTATTGCCTTTAGTTCTACCCTGAGGTAGGCCCCCAACAACCTTCATCTGAACCACTGTGAATGTGATCCGATGGTTCAGTTAAAGACCCTACCCAAACTGTCCCCCACACAGGATTTGCACCAGCCTTCACATCTGATCGTGTCGCTCCTCTACATCTAATCTCTCAATAGATTTCCATCATCTTGCAGGCATGGGCCAGATCTCAGCACCTAGACATGATATCCAAGAGCCACCATGCTGGGGCTTTTCCCAGCTTTTTTAGCTTTATCTGCCCATCTCCCCTACACTAGCTATGTTCCAGCCATAACTACTGCTTACCAATGCCCTTTACTAGGCCTGTACATTCCCACATATACTCACAAGTGCAGGTTGTCCTGATTTGTCCCTGGGAAAGTCTTGTGCTTATTTCTGTTCCCAGTCCACACAGTCATCTTAGTGAAGCTTCTCCTGACTTCTTCAGACAGAACTAAGACACTCTTTCCTTTCCTCCCAAGTCCCCATGAGCATGCACCACCACTGACATGATTTTATACTGTATTATGTTTGCACAAATAATAACACATCCTACGAGACAAGAGCTCTTGGAAGACAAAGACCATGTTTCTTCATCTTGAATTCTCAGCCTCTGATACAGTACTTAAGCATTTGATAGGCACATCCCCTCCCCTGAACTCTCTGTACCCACCATTCAAAATTCCCGTTATAGAGAGAAATATTTGCAAATGATGTATTTGATAAGGGATTATTATCCAAAGTACACAAATAAGTTACACAACTCAACATCAAAAAAACAAACAGCCCAATTAAAATACGGGCAGAGGACCTAAATAAACAGTTTTCCAAAGAAGGAATACAGATGGGCAGCAGGCACATGAAAAGATGCTCAACATCACTAATCATCAAAGAAATGCAAACCAAAACCACGATGAGATATCATCTCACACCTGTCAGAATGGCTATTATCAAAAAGACAACAAATAACAAGTGTTGGCAAGGATGTGGAGAAAAGGGAATGTTTGTGCACTGTTGGCGGAAACATAAACTGGTGCAGGCACTATGGAAACCAGTGTGGAGTTCCTCAAAAATATTAAAAATAGAACTACTATATGATCCAGCAAGCCCACTTCTGGATATTCTTCTGAAAGAAACAAGAACACCAATTCAAAGAGAAATACACCTATATGTTCACTACAACATTATTTACAATAGCCAAGATATGGAAAATGTCCATCAATAGTGGATAAAGAAAATGTGGAGTGTATGTGTGTGTGTGTGTGTGTGTGATGGAGTATTACTCAGCCATAAAAAGAATGAATTCTTGCCATTTACAACAACATGGATGGACCTAGACGGTGTTACGCTAAGTGAAGGAATTCAGACAGAGAAAAACAAATATCATATGATTTCATTTGTATGTAAAATCTAAAAAACAAACAAACATAATGAAACAAAAACAGAGTCATAAGAAGGGAGGATGTGGGGGATGAGTGAACTAGGTGAGAGAGATTAAAAGGTAAAAACTTCCAGTTATAAAATAAATGAACCACAAGGATGAAATGTACAGCCTGGGAAATACAGTCAAGAATGTACTAACACTGTTCAGTGGCAGGTGGTAACTAGAGTTGTCTTGATCATTTTGTAATGTATAGAAACAGTGAATCACTATGTTATGGACCTGGAACTAAAATAGTGTTGTAGGTCAATCATACCTCAAAAAAATCTCCCATTTCACAGGATAACATGTAACTTCTTTAGACACACACAGGACCATCCATGACCTGCCTCTTCTCTGACCTTACTTCTCACTGTATTCCTCTCCCCCACTCCATGTTCCACTCATGCCTAATCACTTAGAATTTCCTAAATGTACAAAACTTCCTCAAACACACTTCTTCTGCCATGATAACCTTCACTCCTTTTCTTTCCTTAGAAAGCTACTCTTCATTGTCACATCTTCTCGGTAAGCTTTCCTAGATCACTCCAATGCTAGTTACTGATGCCTCCTGCATGTATTCAAAACACTTGTGTCCACTTTGTCACTTACAAGCTGCACTGTAATCATCAGTTTATTTTTCTCCCCCACTAGCCTGTCAGGAGCATGTGGGCAGCAATCATAACCTGTCTCAGCACATAACACCATATTTGGTCCATAAAAGGTGCTTAGAAAAGCTTGTTGAATGAATGAATGATGACTGAATGAATAAACAAAGGAATCAGACTTCAATCACCGTTTGCTCTATTTGACTCACTTGTAGTCTCTCTCTTTACCTGAACGTGTAAGTTTTGGTGATCCCACAAGGCAGTGTCTTGTCACGTGGCATCAAGGGAGCTGTGATCCGTAGACCGGCACCTTCCAGAATCACATCATGGGCAGAGGGGTGTCTGCCTCCCCTGTCCACACGGTAGTCAAAAGACAGGCTCTGTCCATAGCTCACCTGTTGATTCCCAAGAAATTTGGCTGTGAAACAGATCAGAAAGATTGGGATCAGCTGTGAGACCAGAGAAGAAAAGGAGTGAGCAGGTCTGCATGGACGTTGGCAATTTCTCTTGGAGTTCTGTATTATTCATCCATCACTCCCCACAAGCTACTTTTTCAGAAGAGCCAGTTCATGGCACTGGACATGGCCATACTGCTATTGGCTATGTGAAGGGTTAGTTAATGAAATGCCAAAAGGGCCTCATTATAAGACACTTCCATCTATCACATGATTCATAGCATGGCCCTTATCAGTTCAGTTCAGTTGCTCAGTCGTGTCCGACGCTTTGCAACCACATGGACTGCAGCACACGAGGCTTCCCTGTCCACCACCAGCTCCCGGAGCTTGCTCAAACTCATGTCCATTGAGTCGGTGATGCCATCCAACCATCTCATCCTCTGTCATCCCCTTCTCCTCCCACCTTCAATCTTTCTCAGCATCAGGGTCTTTTCAAATGAGTCAGTTCTTCGCATCAGGTGGCCAAAGTATTGGAGTTTCAGCTTCAGCATCTGTCCTTCCAATGAAGATTCAGGACTGATTTCCTTTAGGATGGACTGGTTGGATCTTCTTGCAGTCCAAGGGACTCTCAAGAGTCTTCTCCAACACCACAGTTCAAAAGCATCAATTCTTCGGCATTCAAATTTCCTTTTTTTTTTTTTTAATTTATTTTTATTAGTTGGAGGCGAATTACTTTACAATATTGTAGTGGTTTTTGCCATACATTGACATGAATCAGCCATGGATTTACATGTATTCCCCATCCCGATCCCTCCTCCCGCCTCCCTCCCCATCACATCCCTCTGGGTCTTCCCAGTGCACTAGCCCGGCATTGAAATTTCTTTAGAGTCCAATTCTCACATCCATACATGAGTACTGGAAAAACCGTAGCTTTGCCTAGATGGACCTTTATTGGTCCTTATGATAGACCAATATGTAGAGATTCCCAGGTCTATCGGCAGTAGTGCCATCTGTTACATAATGCTTTCTAGTGTACAGAATACTTGCACAAATATCATCACATTTGATGGCAATAATTCTTGGAGTTAGTCATTATTCTTCCCACTTAAGAATGGAGGGAATTAAAGTTTGGAAAAATTAAGAGGCCACCTTGCCCAGGAATCACATATTAGCTAAGAATATGAACTAGGATTAAAATTCCAGCCAGAAGAACTTCCCGGGTGGTCCAGTGGTTAAGACTTTGCCTTCCACTGCACGGGGTGTGGGTTTAATCCCTTGTCAGGGAACCAAGATCCCACATAACCTCATGGTCAAAAAGCCAAAACACAACACAGAAGGAGTACTGTAATAAATTCAATAAAGACTTTAAAATGGGCCACATGAATAAAAAAGAAATAAAAAAAAAATTTTAACCAGAGCTTTTCTATTCAACTTTTCTGATCTTTATATTTTTAAAATTTACAAGTGGTTTAAAGCTTTGAGAAATGCTTTGTTTTCACTTTCCCATCTGCTTCCTGATAGACCCACAGATTTGAACCCAGTCCTTATTTCTTGTCTTGGTGGGAAACTTAGAAATTTGCTTTTTAACTGAAGCAGGAACCTGCACTGGATGTGACCACCTGGACACCCAGTTCTACTCTGTTGGGCTGTGACTTTGTCAGTAGGACTAAAGCCCCAATTGTCTTCTTTAGATGCTACTGCCCTGGACACTAAGTGATAAGATTTTCACATTTGCTAAACCCATTCTTCTATCCTGACTTCCTAGTCTTCTAAGTTGACTTCTACACGAAAAATACCATACGTACCAGGAGCTACAAAATAGACAGGGTCTGATCGTCGTGCTGAACTAAACACATCTTGATGGCGCTGTGACCATTGGAGCTTTGCAGGAAACCCATTTCTCTGGACAGCCTTCCAGCCATCAACATCTGGAACATAAGTAAAACCACTCTTCATTAGAACAAACCTTATCATCAATTGAGTTAAACAAGGCAAGACTTGATTGTTACTCACTAGCAATGAGTGAGTAACAAGTGGGCTTTCTTTATGTTTCCACATTTGTGCACCATCCTCAGAATTCCCTATGCACCTCTCTACTTGGTTTTCACCTTCACCTACTCCTATTTACACTTGCTTTAACTTCTTGTCTTTGAGTCTGACTCTTGGAATAAGAGAACACGTTTTCATCTGCCTGTAATTTGCATTTTTATTTCATTTACATAAACACGGTCTGGTCTTAGTGAGGTAAGAGGGTCCAGTATGTTCAGAGAGAAACTCAAGAGTTGAGATCATATTAATCTCCCATATTTTTAGAGTGCTTTGCAGCTTGGTAACTAATTTCACATAAATTAACTCATTTGGCATATGTGAAAGCAGTATTATTAGTGAATGTGAATTCCAGGAAGGCTTGTGTTAAGCCCCTCAATCCAAAAGAATGATTCTTTTGTGGTTTTAAAGTACACTAATAGGAAATGCAGGGAGTTGAAAATCTGTTCTCTTTTTAGTTATTTTTATAAGTCATTCATAAGATGGTCTGAGCAAACTGTTCAGCTATAACTTTTCCAAGACACCAGGCTCTTTCTTATTGCCTGACAAAATAACGTACATTTAAAGCTAGAAGAGAGTCATCCCATTAAAGATGACTCAAGGACCCCATCCTGAGAACAGAAGTCTACAAGCACAAAGCCCTATACAACAGGAAATAAAAGCAAAACACCTAGAAAACAGAATGCTTTACCTTGATGGAAGGTGGATATGATTTTATGGACACTGTAGTCTCCAGAGCTTTGGCAGCTGGCTGAATGCCCGTAGCAAAAACACTGGGTGCAGCCCTCAGGGTTTCTCCCATCCAGGTGATAGTAACCTGGTCGGCACCTGCAGGGGCGTTTTAGAAATCGCGACAATATTATAGGTTATTTCTCATCCCCACAGAGAATACGGTGACTGATCATTTCTACTTTCTTTCCCACCCAGCCCATTAATTCCCAGAGGTGAGAAACACTCAGTTGCATATACCACTCCCACTCCTCCTGATGACAATCACAGCCCTCCATTAAAAAAGCATGAAGAATATTCACTCTCTTTTGCTCTAGCAGAGCAGCAACACATTGGGCATGATGGTCTGGAAACGGTGATTTTTCCTATGTTTGGTAAGGAATTCAGTGCGCAAGATGGGGAGGGGTCAGGTACAGCTGTGCAGAGTTGGCCCAGTCCTAGAGCAAGTGTTTAAAGGGGGCAATAGGGTGGGAAGTGGGGGCCAGCAAAAGACAGGCAAATGCTCCTGACCCAGTACCCATTCAGCTGTACTGACCCTCCCCTCAACAGGACCACTGTCCCTGGCATTGCCCACCATACCTGCCCCTTGGACCTGGGCTCTGACCCACAGGGGAGGGAGCAGGTGAGGTTATGCCAAAGAAAAATGACTACAGGCCCTCTGGAAAAGCAAATTGTAGGTTGGTGTCCCCTCTGCTCCGAGCTCAAGCCCTCCAGGGACTCCTCTGAGGACCATAGCCGGCAGACAATTTCCAGAACAGATGCTGGGGGCACAGAGAAGAGGGCAGGGGAAGCCAAGAAGGATTTGTTTTCTTCTCCAGTCAAGTTAACGACATCCTTCTACATAAAATAACGGTAGTGTCAATGATCATTTATTTAGCACTTGCGATATTCCAGGCACCTTACATATGCTCCCTCGTTTAATCCTCACTTTTCAACCCTATGACATAGGAATTGTTATTTCCAATTTTCTTAGACAAAGAGACCAAGGTCAGAGAAGTCAAGAAACTTGTTCAAGGTCATATAGCTTATAAGTGGCTGAGGCAAGAGTCAAACTAAGGTACATCTGCTGATAAATTATGTGGTCTTATCCACTGGACCATACTTTAGGAGTTTGTTCAATGTACAAAGGGGCTTCCCTGGTGGCTCAGCTGGTAAAGAATCTGCCTGCAACGCAGGAGATCTGTGTTCGATCCCTGGATTGGGAAGATCCCCTGGAGAAGGGAAAGGCTACCCAAACTAGTATTCTGGCCTGGAGAATTCCCTGCACATAGTCCATGGATCTCAAAGATCTGGACACGACTGAGCGACTTTCACTTTCACTTCACTTTCATTGAGCAAAATCGGAAAGGCAGACTAGCTGAGAACTGTAGATGCTACAGAGAACAGCAGTAAATAAATACCTTTTTTTCCCCTCTATAGATGAAGGGTTTAAAAACTCATTATAGTTTCTGTGGAGGAAACCTGCAGATTAAAACAGATTAAAAAACAAGGAAAGAAGGAAGGGGGAGGGAGAAGGGAAGGAAGAAGAGGTAAGTCAGAGAAAGGGTGGAGAAGGAATGATAAAGGAAGGCAGGAAGGGAATCAGCAAAACTAAACACACAGTGTTTAAGAATGTACTTGGGAGATAAATTATGAAGAATAGTGGTCACTTCTAGGAAGGAGGGAGGATATTATGGGGCTGGCACATTTTTAACAAAGGCCAATTTCATAAAAAAAAGCAAGAAAAAAAAAAAGGCAAGAGAGTTCCAGAAAAACATCTACTTTTGCTTTATTGACTATGCCAAAGCCTTTGACTGTGTGGCCCACAGCAAACTCTGGAAAATTCTTAAAGAGATGGGAATACCAGACCACCTGACCTGCCTCTTGAGAAACCTGTATGCAGGTCAGGAAGCAACAGTTAGAACTGGACATAGAACAACAGACTGATTTCAAATCAGGAAAGGAGTACGTCAAGGTTATATATTGTCACCCTGCTTATTTAACTTATATGCAGAATACATCATGAGAAACGCTGGGCTGGAGGAAGCACAAGCTGGAATCAAGATTGCCAGGAGAAATATCAATAACCTCAGATATGCAGATGACACTACCCTTATGGCAGAAAGTGAAGAAGAACTAAAGAGCCTCTTGATGAAAGTGAAAGAGGAGAGTGAAAAAGTTGACTTAAAACTCAACATTCAGAAAACTAAGATCATGGCATCTGGTCCCATCACTTCATGGCAAATAGATGGGGAAACAGTGGAAACAATGGCAGATTTTATTTTGGGGGGCTCCAAAATCACTGCAGATGGTGACTGCAGCCATGAAATTAAAAGACTCCTTGGAAGAAAAGTTATGACCACCCTAGACAGCATATTAAAAAGCAGAGACATTACTTTGCCAACAAAGGTTCATCTAGTCAAAGCTATGGTTTTTCCAGTAATCATGTATGGATGTGAGAGTTGGACTCTAAAGAAAGCTGAGCGCCGAAGAATTAATGCTCTGGAACTGTGGTGTTGGAGAAGACTGTTGAGAGTCCCTTGGACCACAAGGAGATCAAGCCAGTCCATCCTAAAGGAAATCAGTCCTGAATATTCATTGGAAGGACAAATGCTGAAGCTGAAACTCCAATACTTTGGCCACCTGATGCAGAGTTGACTCATTTGAAAAGACCCTGATGCTGGGAAAGATTGAAGGTGGGAAGAGAAGGGGACAACAGAGGATGAGATGGTTGGATGGCATCACCGACTCAATGGACGTGAGTTTGAGTAAACTCCGGTAGTTGGTGATGGACAGAGAGGCCGGCTGTGCTGCAGTCCATGGGGTTGCAGAGTCAGACACGACTGAGTGACTGAACTGAACTGAATTTCATATAATCAGTGTGACTGACAACATTTGTTTTATGAGACTTTCTATTTCTCTGTTCTATTTTGAAATTTAAAAGGTTTTCTGAAAGCGACTCCTCTTGTAACACTTAAGCTATGTTTCCCCACCCCCACACCAGCAGCGAAGAACCGGCTGAAAACACAAGCCAAGAATGTACCTGGCATTGCCTCTGCCCAGGTATAAGCGATTGGCCACATGCCAAAGAACTGCTTTCTTTCTTTGAAGGAAATATGGGGCAAGGTTTTACCTGTGGGGCCCATTTCACAGCCCTCTGCTTACAACAGTCTCAGGGGAGTGAAGAGTTTTAAGTCCAGGCTCAGTTTGTATCTAAGGAATTTCCTGCAGCAGCAACTGGGGGTGGATCGGCCTCACTGTACCACCTGCCCCAACGTGGCTCTGACATCCTCCCCTGGTTCGTGTGTGTGCACATAACCACCATCCCATCCCTGGGCAGGTCCTCGTCTGCACACAATGGTTATTTATGGCCATACGCTGCAGTATTTCCACCGACTAAGATTTTCCCAACATGTTTACCTAGGCCAGGCCTTCCCTGGGACTGAGTTGAGTCATGAGGCCTCATCCCTGCAGACCCTGTACAGAGCACCTAGGACTGAGAGCCAGCTGGCCAGGGACTCCCCAGGGCCCTGTCACAGCATACACAGAGAAGGGACCCAGAGCAAAAGCTTGGAGCCCACTGAGATTTGGGGCCTTGCTTGCATTTTTTAAAAAATATTTACTTATTTACTTGACTGCACCAGGTCTTAGCTGTGGCATGTGGGATCTTCATCTTCATTGTTTCAATGTAAACTCTTAGCTGTGTGACATGTGGGATCTAGTTTCCTGACCAGAGATGGAACCCAGACCCTTTGAATTGGGAGCATGGAGTCTTAACCACTGGACTACTAGGGAAGTCCGTTACTTGTATTTTTTTTTTAAAAGCCTAGTTTTTGCAGGACTTCCGAGTGGTTAAGACTCTGTACTTCCAACAAAGGAGGTTTGAGTTCCATCCCTGGCGAAGAAACTAAAATCACACATGCCATGCAGTGTGGCCAAAAGATAAATTAAAAAATATAATAATAATAAGGTCTAGTTTTTGAGGCCAGGGAGCAGGAAGAAGGTCATCAACATTGGTTAAGTGTCCCTTTTCCATGACCCACACTCATGCTGGTTGTCAGGGGACCTCCTGCCGTGTCCACAGGGTCACAGTTCACACAGACCTATCACAGCGCTCTCCTGTGACAGCTGGCTTGCAGACACAGCGGCCTGAGTCACAGGGCCCCGAGGTGCCGGCTAGATCACAGTCACACTTGGAGTCTCTGGAAAGAAAAAAAGAAAAGAAAATCAGAGCTGTGTTTCCAAATGCTCTGAACTACACACATGAAGATCAGGCGTTTATAAGCAAATGTCACCAACTTGAGTCAATCGTTCATCTTCAATGAGGCCTCTCTTAGCTATTCTTGTCCATGCTAATCTCTCTCAGACCCTTTAAGAATTCATCTGTCCATGCTACTAGTGCTACTCAAAGTGTGGTCCGTGGCTGGCGGCCAGTCCAAGAACTGTTTACTACCCACTTCTAGAGAGAGCAGGGGTTTGCCTCAGAATGTAAACCAAACTCATCATGAAACTGTTTAGTTTGGTTGACTGTTTGCGTCAGTTGACCTAAAAAAAATTTTATCATTTGTTTTTCTATTGTTTAATCCAGCGGTGTCTGCTTTCATCACGGTTGACTCCACCTATTTGCTTTTTGTTCATTTAGTTTTTTCTTCTGGTAACACTTCTATTTCACATATAATTCATACCATGCAATTCATTATTTAAAGTATTCAACTCATTGGGTTTTAATTGATCCTCAGAGCTAGGCAAAGAGCACCACAACCAACTTTGGAACATTTTTATCACTCTAAATAGAAAGCCTGTGTCCTTTAGGAATCACTCTCATTGCCTTCCCCCAAGTCCTAGGCAACCACTAACCAACTTTTCGGCTCTGGAGATTTGCCTGTTCTGAATGCTTCCTATAAACGGAATTGTACAATGTTTGGCCTTTTGTGTTTTGCTTCTTTCACTTGTAAGTCTTCAAGATCCATCCATGCTGTATCATGTATCAGTAGTTCATTCTTTCCATGGCTGAATAAAATCCCGTCATGTGAATATACTATATTTTGTTCATACACTCATCAGAATGCACATTTGGGTTTCCACTTTTTACTATTATGAATAATGCTAATTATTCATAGTGAAAAATTTGTGTACATTCATGTGAACATTTGCATACAAGTTTTTGGGCAGATATGTTTTCATATGTCTCAAATGTATATCTAGGAATGAAATTGCTATTAGTTTTGCTGATTTTTTTTTTCTGGTTGCAAGACTTTTCTCAATGAAAAAAATCAGTGTTTTCATTATTTAATTTTGGCACAATCTCCTTGGCTTGTGCAATGAGCACTTTGACTGATGACTGTTCTCTGACGAACCAAAGCCCTCGTCTCTATCACGGAGCTTGCCCCATAAGCACATGTATTTATCTCATGCATCTAACACCAAGTTTGTTCTCTTCCCTACTGACCTGCTCCTCCTGGCTGCCCCATGACCCCATCAGATCCTGCCCAAACCTGCCTCTGACTCCTCCTCCCTCACATTCCTCATCTAATCAGTTCCAAGTCCTATTGGGCTTCCTGAAGATTTCTTTCCCAACCTCCATCTCTCAGTTGCCATGGTCTCCTCCCTATGCTGGCCCCTCTACACTATTACCTGGACCCTCTGAGAAACATATATTCAGCGTCTACTAGTTGCTAAGCACTGGGGATAGTGAGAAGTAGGAAACAGTCCTGCTCTCTGGGAGTCTCAAGGCAGGGCAGACACATGAACAGCAATGGCAAGAAAGCACATCTGCAGCTGTAGCCGAGCTGGAACACGCTCACGGGCCTCTTCCCTGCAGCAGTGAACACGACAGAACCAAAACCAGGCTTCCATTCTAGTGGGAGAGACAGACAGATACATACAGAAAGTAAGAGACTGTAAAACAAGAGTCAGCACGGAGCAGTGGGGACTGGTCCAGACGGCCCCTGAGAGGGATGGACAAGGTGGGGATGGAACCCCTGAAGCTCTGTGTGGCTCTGTGGGAGGGAAGAGGACTCGAGGCCAAGGCCAAGGCCACATACACTCGACTCCTTTGAAGAAGTAAAGGAAGCCTGGGAGGGGGTGAGAAACGGAGCAGAAGCCTCAGGTGGCGAATAGAGAGGGCAGGAGGGGCTTGGAGGGCCCCAGCTGCCTAGATGGGAAGTTTGGATCTCACTCTAGGTGGGAACGGAGTTAATGGAGGTTTGGAGCAGAGCCATGATGTCATCTACTTCATAGTTTACAAGGATTACCGAGGGAGACGGGGCCTGGGAGGAGTCAGGGAAGTCTGGGAGGGGAAAAGACCCTGGGACGGTGGTAACACAGATGGTGCAGTCAAGGTGGGCGGTGGGTCTCACATGGACAAGGGGCTGGAACCATGGGTGATGCGGAAGTGGTTTCTCTGTGGGCAGCCTTCTGGCCCATGGCTTCTCTGCCAAGCTCCTCTTCACCAAAGTCAGCCCAGCACCTTGCTGGCTCTGTACCTCTGCGGGCTGGCCATGTGACTTATAAGGTACGCTTCACCTTTTTCCAGAAAAGTAAGTTGAGCAGGACTAGAGAAATGCTTCAAGCTAAAGGAGATTCAAATTATGCAGGAAGTTCTTCTTCTCTAAACCTGCTTATTTGAAACAAGTTCCAGGTTAAACCTTAAAGGACTCTTAACTTCCACCCTAGTTCACCTCTAGGAGGGGTAGTTGTCAGGGTGATGAGCATAGCCTCCACAGAAAACATTCTGAGCCTGAGTATGAAGTCCATCCTCACTAGCAACACTGGCCACCTTATTTATCCTCTCAGAATTTAAGTTTCTTATCTTTAACACAAGTGTAAAGCTAATACAAAGTTTTTAGGGTTATTGTGAGGGTTAAATGAGATAACCCACACAAAGTCCCCAAAAGACTTCCCTGGTGGGTCCAGCGACTAAGACTATAAGCTCCCAATGCAGGAGGCCTGGGTTTGATCCCTGGTCAGGGAAGTAAGATCTCGTATGCCACAACTAAGACCCAGTGCAGCCACAAAATAAATAAACATTTTTTTAAAAATAGTGTTTCCATATTCAGTTACTTAGTAACAGTTACTCAATAAATGTAAGTGGTCCCTAATGTTGGTATGATCACCATTAGTCACAGTGGAACCAGCGGTGGTGTTGCAGGCACTTACTGGAGCTTCCGGTCTTGGGTGCACCCAGCATCAGTGAGCATGTGGAAGCCTGGCAAACAGCGGTCACACCTGTCCCCCGTCACACCTGGCTTACAGTTGCACCGTCCAGCGCTGTCACATCGAGGGCTAAGAGAACCTATAACCACAAAGGAGGGGGAAGGAAAGAAGAAAAGGAACTATTTCATTCATATGACATTAGAGGGCAACCGTCACCATATGGGAGCTCAATAAATACTAAGTAATGATCTCCTAAGGAGATCAGTCCTGAGTGTTCATTGGAAGGACTGATATTGAAGCTGAAACTCCAATACTCTGGCCACCTGATGTGAAGAGCTGACTCATTTGGAAAGACTCTGATGCTGGGAAACATTGAAGGCAGGAGGAGAAGGGGATGACAGAGAATGAGATGGTTGGATGGCATCACCGACTTGATGGACATGAGTTTGGGTAAATTCCAGGAGTTGGTGATGGACAGGGAGGCCTGGCGTGCTGCAGTCCATGGGGTCGCAAACAGTCGGACACAACTGAGCAATTGAACTGAACTGAACTGAATCACCACGACCTGCTGCCTTGGGCAATTCTTTCACGTCATCGGGATATGCATCTATACCCACTAGGGAAAATTCTGACAGCCAAGGATGGCTTCTTCAGGGAAAGAAATGGAAATGACTCCTGAAAGCATTATTATTTGTATATCTGCTCTGGTTTCAACATTAAGTCATTTGTCAAATCCTTGAGATCTTGAGTAACATTTGTGAATGAGCACATGAGCCTGCACAAAGACAGGATGCAAAAGTGAGCCGCCTTCGCCCTTATCTCTGGCAGGCAAACAGCATCTTTCAAGGGTCAGTGCTCATACGGTATGATTGTAAGAGTACAAAAAAAGCCTCTTAACCAAAAATATCTCTACCTACCTGGAGTGGTGGAAATTCTCACCCTTGGAGCATCACCGCTTGTAAAGAGTGAAGACCCTGAGCATCTTACCTGGTTTGGGGCACTAGAGTACTTTCCTATAATTAATTGTTTATAGACATGCTCTATAAAATGACCTCACAGACTGCTACTGAAAGGTGAGAGGTGCTCAGGATAACAAAGAGTGCCACCCTGGAATCCAGCCACCCTTACCGCCTCCCCTTCAACTATCCCCAGTTCAAGCTTCCTCCTTCTCTCACCTGGACCCTCCCTACCTCCATCCTTGACTCCCTACACTCCATTCTCTCTATAGAAGCAGAAGTACTCCTTTTCAATGGAGTTTGAATCATATGACTGGTCTGATTAGGTCTTCTGATGGGTCTAGGTCTTCTGATGGGTCCCTGCTATGAGTGGAATAAAGTGCAAACTCTGTACCATGACCTATAAGCCTCGACCTCTCTTGTCTCATCTCTTGCTCCTTCACTGAGGTCCAGCATCCTAGCTCCCCTCCCTGTTCCTGGAATATGCTGATCGCTTCCCTCCTCAAGGCATTTGCACCTGCTGCTTCTTCAGCCTGGAATGTTCTATCTTGAGAACGCGCCCTAGTTGGCCCATTCTCAGCACTTAAATCTTGATTAACTTCTCTAGAGAAACCTTCTCTGTCTCTCATGTCTATAATATTCAGCCCACTGCTCCCTCAGTCCTTAGCCCTGCTTACCAATAACTCCCTCAGCTTGTGTTCCCTGCTGAATTCCCAGTGCCCGAAGCAGAGTCCTAGATGTCTGTTGGATTAATTAACCCTCGGGAAGGAGGATGTGGCTATTGTGAAAGGAGGAGGAAGCCAAAAGATGAGGTAGAATGTGGTTCACCTACTTGATAATCTCCCTTAGGCTGGCAGTACTATAAATAATTCCTATATCTGAACTGTGATAACCAGGCTATTCATAATCTATAAAGCTAACAGAACACTAACCAATTGCTCCTTCTTTCTCCTAATCTCTTACTTGCCTGTGAACTTTTAATTCACTTATAGATACAAGTCAGATCAATAAAGGTGTTTGGCTCTGTGTCTATAGTCACAGGTGGAACATGAAATAAACTAGTTACATACACAGTTAGAGTCTGTGAGAGCCTCCATGTCAACCTTGCAAGGCTTGAAAGGAACCTCAGTGATAAGAACATACACAAACTTTTTTGAGCACCTGCTATGTGTGAGACACTGAATTGAGCATTTTATATATATTAGTTCACCATATTTATTGATGAATTAAGAGCTGATAAGATATCAAACCCATTTGTGGATAACTGGGAGCACTCAGAGGATCAGACAGCTCACACCCGGAGCAGATAGAGAGAGGAGGGGAAGGCACCTCGGGCAGAAATAGAATATCACTGATTAAGCAAAGGGAAAGGGTGATTGGAGTGGGGAGAAGTCTCAGAATAGTGGAAGCCAAGGGAGGAGAATTCCAAGGAGGGTTAAGGGAGGAAGAACATGGAATAGTTTTCAGTATCTAAGACAAGAGAGCACTTAAGATGAGAGGGAGGGAGGCCACTGGGGTTGGCGTTTAGAGACACACAGCAGACGGAGCTAAGAAGGTAAATTCCTGTTTAAATTTATACAATTTCATTATTTTAACATAAATGAGTAAATCTTGGACCCAGAAACACATTTTTCTTCTCCATTCAAATTAATAAAAATTATGTTTTTAATTTAAGAAAACCCTCCCTACAACAGCTTTTCAGAAGCAACTCTTTTACTAGTCCATGGTCTATAGCCCACCAGGATCTTTTGTCCATAGGATTTCCCAGGTAAGAATACTGGAGAAGATTGCCATTTCCTTCTCCGGGGGATCTTCCCAACCCAGGGATCAAACTCGAGTCTCCTGCACTGGCAGGTGAATTCTTTACCACTGAGCTACCTGGGAAGCCCAAACTAAAATATATGAAGTGCCTAAAAAGCAGAGACATTACTTTGCCAACAAAGGTCCCTAGTCAAGGCTATGGTTTTTCCAGTAGTCATGTATGGATGTGAGAGTTGGACTATAAAGAAAGATGAGCGCCGAAGAATTGATGCTTTTGAACTGTGGTGTTGGAAAAGACTCTTGAGAGTCCCTTGGACTGCAAGGAGATCCAATCAATCCATCCTAAAGGAGATCAGTCCTGGGTGTTCATTGGAAGGACTGATGTTGAAGCTGAAACTCCAATACTTTGGCCACCTGATGCAAAGAACTGACTCATTGGAAAAGACCCTGATGTTGGGAAAGATTGAAGGCAGGAGGAGAAGGGGATGACAGATGATGAGATGGTTGGATGGCATCACCGACTCAATGGACATGAGTTTGAGTAAACTCCGGGAGTTGGTGATGGACAGGGAGGCCTGGCGAGTTGCAGTCTACGGGGTCGCAAAGAGTCGGACACGACTGAGTGACTGAACTGAACTGAACTAAACTCAACATCTCACATATAGTAAGTGCTCACAAAAGTGGTTTATGCTTGTATCTTCTAGGCCTCCTTCAAGCCTTGCAAAGTTGACATGGAAACACACACAGGATCTTACTATAAACAGGACTGATTTATTTCATGTTCCCAAACTTCCAAAATAATAGCATTGGGTTTTCAAAGTATCTCGTTAAAATAAAAACACCTGTACCAATTCCTATATCATGAGCTACTCTTAGGGACTGTGAACAACTGGGTTTAAAGGATAGATGAAGAACAGCTTCTTGTTTCAAGTCTGTGTCCCCAAAAAGCACTCCAGGATTTAGGTAGTACTGTCTATATGTGTTAGAGGACTCAGGAACATATTCTAAAATGACCAATATTTAAACTAAGAGGGCTTGCTTCCTTTTGAGAATCCTTTAAAAATATAGATGCTTGCATTTTTAAATAGAATTATTACTATTCAATCACTATACTTAATAATTAAATTATTATCTAAGACATGTTTCAAAATAATAACTCAAATGTTATAGTCTGAGTTATCTACTGCCTGGCTCATACATATGTAAAAAAAAAATAAAATTAAGAGAACAAACCCAATATCATTAAAGTCTGTACAGATCTCAAGAAGTTAGGTATCAGGGGAGGAAAACACACACACAGAGTAAATTTCAAAGTATCACAGAAGGTTATCAGGGTTACAAGAACTGAGGATAATTCAGCCCTGATGCTGAGCCTCTAAAATCATCACCTAAAAATAAGTCTAGCTGGCATATTTAGAAGAAACTGGTGTAACATCCAAAATCTGTGACCACTTTGGGGCTTATAAATGCTGTTGGCTTCATTTGCCATGCATACAATGGCAGCTTTTGGTAAGATGAATTCTTCTGCATTTGAAATTGAATACACACAAATTCCCTTGGGAAGTTATATTTTGAAAGTGAAAAATACCCTCTGGCTGATGGGGAAACTGAGAGATCACATGGAGAATTAAATTCTAGCTACTGATTTTGTGACCTGTGCAGCCAACAGGTAGCCGGAGATAGCACATAGTTGGAACAGCCCCTACCACCAATGTGCCACTCAGCCCTCAACAAGTTTCATCACCTCCCTCTCTAAGCCTCTGATACCTCATTTGTAAAATGAAAATAATAGCACCGTCTTCATAGGGTTATTTGTGAAGATTAAATTAATTAGTGGATGAAAGTGTTTAAAAAAGTGCCTGGCACAGAGTAAGCGTGTAATTCATGTTAACTATGAATATCATACAAGACATAAATCATCCCTGGGCTCCACCGCTTCCTACTAGGTTGTTCACCCTGAGTCCGAGATATCTATTTCCTCAAAGAAAAGAAAGAACTGGGCTCACTGTTGCTGGGTGGCAACAAACTACAGGGTGGAAAAGAAGCGATGGCGTGGTAAAGCCTCTTCACCATCTCTCTTCACGACACAGGTTCCTTGTCTACTCCCAGACTAATAGCCTTGTCTTCAGGCCAGGCTTTCCAGCTGAGCCAATTACATTTCTCATCACATTCGTGCTGATTATTTTGCTGGGATGACCCAACTCCAGTGACTCACAACAAAGCTGCATCACCTAAGGGGATACGGGCTTGTCAGAGAGGTTAAATGCCCTTTAAAGTGAAATCATTTTTCTTTTAATTTGTCTTTGGTTCAGAGGGAGAATTGCTAAACCCCAAAGATTCTGGATGCTGAGTCAAAGCCACAAAACTGAGCAAATCTGACTCAAACCACATGGCAGCAGCAAGTCTGGTGAATCTGAGAATGACTGCTGGTGTATGGGTCTGTATCACTGTGGGGTCACCCCAGTTTTCAAAGGCTCCCCAACACACACTACTTGCAAGTCATGGTTAAGCCAAAGCCTGCCCATTTTTAGATTCTTTCAACTGCTGTTAAGAATTGGCTTCACAGAGCTATACTGAGTCATAAGGCTATACCTTTTTGGTAAATTAACATTGATCACATTATACTATTAAACACTTTTTGGCAAAGAGAAAGAGATAAGCCAAGGAAGACAATAGACAAATAAGGTAGCTTTAAAAAGTCCCAACTTTAGGGACTTCCCTAGTGGTCAGTGGTTAGGACTCCCCACTTCCAATGCAGGGGGCACTGGTTCAATCCCTGGTTGGGGAAATAAGATTCCATGTACCACATGGTGTGACCAAAAAAAATTGTTTTTAATTTTTTAAGTCCTAAATATTTCTCTCTCTCTTCCTCTTTATATTTACTAACTTGTCTTTACTGTCTGCCCATGGCTATGATGATAAAGAATCTGTCTCTATGGGGGAGATCCCAGTTCAATCCCTGGGTTAGGAAGAGTCCCTGGAGAAGGGAATGGCTACCCACTCCAGTATTCTTGCCTGGAGAATCCCCATGGACATAGGAACCTGGCGGGCCACAGTCCATGGGGTTGCAAAGGGTCGGACATGACTGAGCAACTAACACTTTCACTTTTCATGATGACTACAGCAGGACATGTGCATCTGTGTACACATAAACTACCTATAGTTCTGAGAATACAGCAGTGGGTGATATACTTAAAACCACAAGAACAACAAAAACAGGCTCTCCTATGAACCAGCCACCTTATTAGGTCTTATTTATTGTTCTATTTTCTCTTGCTTACAACCCTGTGAAGGATTCTAATCTACCTATTCTGTGTCTGTCTCTTCCATTAGTCTCACTTTATCTTGCCAGCACCCAGCAGAGCACCAGAAACAGATCTTTCTAATCTCTTATTTTTGAGAGGCTGGTCGAAGAGATAGTTATGGAAATGAAGAACTATCACTGGAAGAATAAGCTTCTTTGTGGGTAGCCATTTCCTTCTCCAGGTCAAAGACTGTCATCTACTGGGAAAAGTCATCGTGTGCCTCTCTTAAGGCTGAAACTCCAACTAATGTGCCCTGAAGACCACAGCTGGTTCCTACAACCTAGCCTTAAGAAAAATGTATTTCATTTCAGATTGAAATTGCTAAAAAAAAAAAAAAACAGTGTCTAGTAGATTCCTAATTGTTCTAGAAATTTTTAAATAAACTTTATTTTTAGAATTATATGTTCATATATTGAAAGGAATATAGTTTTGCAATATAGTTTTCTGCTCTGTTTGTTTACTTTTGGCTGTGCCATGGGGTACCTTAGTTCCTAGTCCAGGGATTGAACCTGTGCCCATGCATTGGGAGTACTGTGGAGTCTTAACCACCGGACCAACTGGGAAGCGTCTGTTCAAGAAAACTGAACATCTGCCTCTTGGTCTGTTCTCTCTCTCTTTCCCCCTGCCTCCCTGCTTCCCCATTCTCTCTTCTACCCCTCCCTCTCTCCCCATTTTCTCCCCCCACTCCCCCCATTTTATCCAGCTACCTTTGGAGTTGCAATTGCAGGGCAAGCAGCGGTCTCTCTCCCTGTGTCGGTAAAATCCTTCCTTGCACCTCTCACAGTGAATGCCACCAGTGTTGTCACTGCAGTGGAGGCAGCGGAATCCATTTCCTGTCAGTCTGTGAAGCTCCTGATCAAAGATGCATTGCCTGGACTTCCCATTGCAGTCACAGACTAGGGATTAGGGGGGAAAAAAAAGACATCGTCAGCAGAAAACAAGTCAGGGCAATCCTCCTAGGTGTTTTATTATTATTATTAATAAAAATGATGCCTGGGGTACTACATACTAGTTTAAACTGCTCAGTGGCAAAAGGTAATGGGGTGAAATTGGCGGCAGGATGATGGAGGGAGTTCTCGGTTTACTTAAAGGAAGCGGTGCAGGAGGAGTGTTGCCTTGGAGAACACAAAACTACGTGAAGTCAGGTTTGCTGGACTGGCTGACACCTCAAGACAAACCAAAGCTCTATTATTAAATATTTTTATGTGAAAAGTCCTGATTTAAATATCTGCAAGGAATGAAACCCCACAGTACAAGTCTATGGGCTGGAGAAGACCTGAGGACCGCCAGGACATGCGCTCTGGCATGACTGTGAAACAGCTGAAGGTGTGATCTGTTCAAGACCTACAGCATCTGTCTCTCCAGTGATGGTCAAGGCTGAGGAGCTAATTTTTTTTTAATTTACTTTATTGAAATGCAGTTGATTTGCAGTGTTATATTGGTTCCTGGTGTTCAGCAAAGTGATTCAGTTATACATACATATATTCTTCTTCATATCCTTTATTATGATTTGTTACAGGATATTGAATAAGTCCCTTGTGCCATGAGTAGGACCTTGCTGTTCACCCACTGTATATGTAATAGTTTGCATCTGCTAACCCGAAACTCCCAACCCATCCCTCCCCGACCCAGCCCCCTTGGCACCCACAAATCTGTGCTCTACACCTGTGAGTCTGTTTCTGTTTCATAGGTAAGCTCATTTGTGCCATATTTGAGACTCCACTTATAAGTGATATCATATGTTATTTGTCTTTTTCTGATTGACTTCACTCAGCACGATAATCATAGGTCCATCTGTGTTGCTGCAAATGGCATTATTTCATTCTTTTTGAGGCTGAGTGGTATTCCATTGTGTGTGTGTATATCACATCTTTATCCATTCATCTCCTGATGCACATTTAGGTTGTTTCCATGTCTTGACTACTGTAAACAGTGCTGCCATGAACATAGGGTACATCTGTCTTTTTAAATTATAGTTCTGTCTCGGTATATGCCCAGGAACAGGATTGTTGGATCACATAGCAACTTTAGTTTTTTGAGGAACCTCCATTCTGTTTCCCATAGAGGCTGCACCAATTTACACTCCCACCAACAATGTAGGAGGGTTCCCTTTGTTTGAGGAGCTAATATGACTATCTGGACAGGTATTTCCTCCCTTCTCACTGCCATAAGTGTCTCTCCCAAAGCCAGGCGTCAAAAGGAACCACAGTCCCATTAGGAAGGACTTTCCCCAGATGTCTAGGAAAGTTTACGCTGTGCATATTCTAAAGAGACTCATGGGGTGACTAACATCTCCATGCAGGACTGGAACAGCCAATGAGTTAACAGGGGAAATCCTTAGCGTTGTACCTAAGACCCCCAACAAATGTTTCAGTCACAGTCTGGAAAAGATGATGAACCTTGGGGTTAAAAGAAAGGTATCAAGCACCAGTTCTGCTAGTTCCTCAAGCAATCACTTCAACTCTCTGAATCTTATTTCTTTTATAAACGTAGGCTGCGTTTTCTACCTCCCTGGTTGTCAAAAGGATCCCACTGAGAAAAGAAGATCAAGTCTTTGGTCTATGCTATTTCACCCCTCACTCACAGGAGAGAGGTATTGCCTCAGATGAGAAAAATGCAGCTCACAAAAGTTAAGTAACTTGAGCCAGTGGAAAGCTAGGATTTGAACCTCTGTCTGTTGCCAAAACCCACTTTCTTTCCCCCTGAGACACTGTCTCTATTGACCATGCAACCCTAGCGAGAACTTGTCTCTGGCAATGTCCAGGGCCATGACTTACCCTGGGGACTCATTTTAAAAGTCAGCAAATGTACCAACATGTACAGAGCAGCTGCCTGTGCAGGCCTTGTCAGCTCTGACGGAACAAAGGTGGCAAAGGTGACTAAGTATAGCTGCTACCTTCATGAGGGACTCCTTTGCAGTAGCTCCTAAAAATCATTCTCGTACTCCTGTGGGTGCCCCTAACCTGAGCAAAGTCAAGAACCTCTATCCAGAGAGCAGTCTGTTTCTGGGACTTTACATTCAGCAGTTCAGTTAATTCTTGCAATAACACTTTAACATGGGTTTAATAATCCTCATTCAATAGATAAAGAAATGAATGCGTAGAGGGGGTAGGTGTCTCACCTAAGCTCACACAGCTAAGTGGCAAAGGTGTAACTGCTCCCGGGTGTGTCCAATTGCAATGCTCTCACCTCTCTATGTCACTCTTGTGTCTCAAGGCTCTGGTCTGCTACTGTGTGTAGGTATTCTTTCTATGACTCCCTCATGGAGAGTTATTCAGCCTTTTCTCCAGTTCTTCCTAATCTGCAAGATGTCCCATCCCTCCTGAGACAGCTCTGATTGTTACAAATTGTTTTTATGCAATTTTATTTTTTAAACTATAATTTTTAATTGGTTTCCCTCCTTCTCTTTCTTACTCATCTGATATTTTATTTATTTTTGGCTGCACTGGGTCTTCATCGCTGTGAACAGACTTTCTCTAATTGCAGTGAGCGTGGGCTTCTTATCGCGGTGGCTTCTCTTGTTGCAGAGGACAGGCTTTAGGTGCCTGGGCTCAGAGGCTGTGGCACACAGGCTTAGTTGCCCCGAGGCATGTGGGATCTTCCCAGACCAGGGATGGAACTCATGTCCCCTGCACTGGCAGCAGATTTTTACCCACTGAGCCACCAGGGATGTCCCTGCAATTTTATCATGGATTCTGTTCTTCTGTGGAAAACAACAACACATACACAGATACACCTACTCTCTTCTCCATTTATTGACTCATCAGACACTTCTCACATTTACATTTACAAGGCGCTGCCTTAGCCAAGCCCTTGAGTATCTGAGGATAGGACCATCTTCATCTTTAGCCTTCTCTCCTTCAGGTTAAGCATAAGATCTGTTACCTCCAGAACTTTCAACCATTTCCCAGGTCACAATTTCTAGATTCATCTTGACTCCCCTCCTAGGAACAAACTCTCATTTTCACTGCCTTTCTTTAAATGACCAGAATTTATTACAGCTCTTCAAGTGTGGGTTGAACAGCTTAGCTTACAGCAGGACCAGATATTGTAATTCCACGGATGAGCCTAACATTTCACTAAACTCACAGCCCAAGAAGTTTGCATTCAGTTCAAACTCCCAGGACTTTTTCACAGAACTGATGCCAAGCCAAATCTTTCCCAACGAATGTTTGTGTAACGGATTTTTCTGGATCTCCAACAGATGTGCCACACAGCTGTCATGTGCTGTGAAATTTCTTCCAAGCAGCTCATTAGGCACGAACAAGAGCTAAATGCACCAGCCAACGATCCTTGTGAGGCTGTCCAGTTGGATCCCACACTGAGCCAGTGCCCTCCCTGCCCTGGATGACCTCTGGGAACAATCTTGAAATAATTTCAAACATCTCATTGTTTTTTTTCTTTTCTGCTTTTTGTGTGGTCTCCGTTTTCTTTTTTTGTATTTATTTTATGTCAATTTTGTTTATTTATTTGTCTGCGCCGGGTCTTGCAGGATCTTAGATCTTCGCTGCAAGCGTTCAAACTTCTAGTTGCATTTGTGGGATCTACTTCCCTGACCAAGACCCCGCTGCATTGGGAGCGTGGAGTCTTAGCTACCCGGACCACCAGGGAAGTGCCTCACTGTGTCTTTTTTCATTCAAAACAAATTTTTTGCTGGTAGAAGTTAATTTCATTAGGAAGTGATGTATTTTTAGAGCATTATTTTAAAAATAGAAAACCCCATTATAATCTTTTTTTAACCATTTCCCTTTCCTTCTGTCCTTTCTGCTTTAAAGCTCTATTATGAAAGAACTAATGTTCTTCCTTTAAAATTCACAGCCTTCGATGGAGACGCCTTTATATAATTCCAGTACAGGAGGCCTTTAGGCAGCATCTCTCCACTCTGGAACTCTGCTGCAAACCTACTGTAAGCTACCCTCCTCTCTCAGTTGGGCTTCTCTTTAAGCCCAGGGTTATGTACGCTTCCCAGGTGGCGCAGTGGTAAAGAATTCGCCTGCCAATGCAGGAAACGCAGGAGACATGGGTTCAGTGATTCCCTGGAGTAGAGGAAATAGCAACCCACTCCAGTATTCTTGCCTGGAGAATTCCACAGAGGAGCCTAACGGGCTATAGTCCGTGGGGCCGCAAAAAGTCGGACGTGACTTTGCACATACACCTTTAATACATTTTAAAGCAAGAGGAAACTTTAAAAATGTTTTTTATTATACTTCCTTTTTTACGTTTAGCCTTGTTCAGCTTTAAATCTGTTATAGATTTTTTTTTAAATTTTTGTTTTGAAATCTACTTGCTGTTCTTCTAAATTTGGGGCCAGCTGTAAATTTTTTAACTATATTGTCTGGTTTCCATCAGGGAGCCTTGACACAAAAGCAAATGATACAAGGATAAAGATGGGGATCGTGGACATATCCTGGGTCCATTGGGAATCATTTTTCCATGTCCATTCATCCAACAAATATAGACTGAACATCTATGTGCCAGACCCTGTTTCCAGGGATTTCGTGGTAGATAAAAACCAACAGATGGGACTACCCTGGTAGTCCAGTGGTTAAGAATCTGCCTGCCAATGCAGGGGACATGGGTTCCATCCCTGGTCCTGGAAGAGCCCACATGTTGTGGAGCAACAGAGCCCATGAGACACAACTACTGAGCCCACACGCCTAGAGCCTGTGCTCTGCAACAAGAGAAGCTCCTGCAATAAGAAGCCCATGCACCGAAATGAAGAGTGGCCCCGGCTCACTGCAACTAGAGAAAGCCCACATGCAAGAATGAAGACCCTGCACAGCCATAAATAAAATTTTTTTTAAAAAACCAACAGATGTCCAAGACTTCATGGAGTTTTCATGAGACTTAGAGGAAAAGACATACATTTATTTCATTTATTTAGTAAGTATAACTT